ACCAAGGCCGCCGGTGGGCTCACTCGGACAGACCGCGCCGTCCCCCAGACACGCGAGGCCGGCTCGGTGCCCGTGAGTCAAGCGGCCTCACCAGACGGCCTTTTATGGTCGCCGTCCGCCCCACTCGCGCCGTGCCTCGATGGTGAATGGGGCTCTGAAGACCGTCTATTGGGGCCGAGCCCAGGACGGATTGTGGACGGACTACTAGCGGCCAAAAACGGCTCTGAAAGGTCAGGTCAAACAACTGGCCATCGGTGTCGGCTGCCAGGTTTTCTGACTGTTTTGGTGTTGGGTCGTCAGCCGGGCTGTCCGTTTAGCCTCCGGGTGTTGCTTGGCCCGCGCTGGCCCGATTTGTGATAAGCCGTTTAGCTTATCTGGATCGTTAGAACTTTCCCCGGGCGGATGTTGTGGCGATTTTCATCTGTTTGGATCCCCGAGCCACCGGAGCGAGGCGGGTTTCCAAGCGCCCCAGTGCCTTCCCATGTCAGAGCTAATGAATGACCCGCCCCTGCTGCCGGTCATGTCTGAGATGAGATGCGGTACTCCGATAATCTCTGCTTCATCTGGTCAGTTCTGATCGGCTCACTGTAATATCACGGCATCGACCAACGGGCGACACGAGACAGCGAGCTCAGGGCGACCGACGATCGATGTGATGATGACCTCGCCTGTCATATATGCTGATCATCTCCGTCTTATGACGTCTACGTCCGTCTGATGTCATTGTCCCATAGCACGTCAGTGACGTCAAAACGATAACATCGTTGTGTATGACAGCTCCTTTGTCAATTTGGCATCAGGTTTGATCCGTATTTCTTTGGGCTCAGACCGTTTGTTCAGTGCTGCTCCGGCCCCCTGCCCTCCTCGCGGTCCCTTGGGGACGCCTTCCTGCGTCCCTCGCCGCCGTCGCTCGATAACCGATCGATCGTCGGCCGTCGACCGTCCGGCGTCGGAGTCGACGGGACGCTGGCGTCGGAGCCGACGGGGACATTGCCGTCGGAGCCGACGAGGCACTGCCGCTGGAGTCAGCTGCGACCGACAGCACAGTGCGCGGCGGCGAACGAAAGGGAATGGGAAATAACAGCGGCGATAGAAAGGGACAGGGAGAGAGGGAGAGAGGGAGAGAGATAGTGGCGGAGCAAGTAATTGTTGTCGAATCCCTGGCGGCCTGCTTCTGTGGTGAGATAACAGGATATCTGTGTGAATGCACCTTTTAGCTGATTGTGATCTTATTTCATGTTAGACATGAGCGAAAAATATTATACACACTCAACCTCGTACCACAAGTTATGTACAAGTTATGTCCTTTTCTCAGTTCTAGTTGTGCAAAAAAAAAAAAACTGGACATCCTAGCAACGTAATCAGACCTTCGCAAAATTTTCTGCAAGACCATTCATTCGAAGATACCTACTTTTCCGTACCATGCAAACGCCTGAACATATACTGTCCCGCAACACACCTGCCGTCGGGTATACTCTCCCGCAATACACATTCCTGAACTGATGTTTGTTCACTATAGTCCACTTTTTGCAATCGCTGCGTTGAGCTGAGAGGAATGCAAACTCAACCGAGAAGGTTTTGCTCGCCGTTTTGTCCAATCGGTTCGCTCACTATAGTGAGCGACGGATAGCTACTGGTATACCAGTAGCCCTCTGCAGCGCCACTTGGTATTCCTTCGGTTTGTTGATTTTACATCGATCTAGAGCTCGTGTTACCGGCGTGGGTCCGCGTGGGTCGGGTTACCGTGCCACCCCGCCCCGGGTTGGCTGGGACCCAGTTAGACGCGGGTGTTTCGCGGCCCATGCGCGCCCCGACCGGCAGACCATCTGTGGGTGCCGCCCGCTGAGCCCGAACACAGCTGCCGACCGGATGGAGTGGCACACAGTGACACAGTGTCAGCGTCAGTGACGGTCATACAGTGTCGTTTTGTCAGTCCTCGTGACACAGTGTCAGTGTCATGCCCGGCACGCAGTGTCAATGTGTGCCGACCTGTGTGTCACACAGTCTCAATTTGAGTCTCACCCAGGTCTGCAGGGCGGGGCCCGCATCACAATATTCCGAGATTCACAACCTCCCAGGATTTAAAACTTCTCAGGCTCGGCTCTTCTCTCGAGCTGGTTCGGTCAGTCCGACGAATGTGAGTCACCTCTCCGTGCTCGCAAACATGTTTGCAGTATGTAAAATTGATCGAGCTTTGCTATCGCCGAATGCGGGCTGCTTCTGGTTGGTCGAGGAGGCGAAGTGACTGGTCATTGTTTTGCATTGCCCGAATAGATGGGTTGGTAGGCCCGGTGGCGTTTGGGGATGCCTGTCGCTGCTGGGCTGGTTGCGCCACACCACACGGTTGATGGCTGCTATTCGGTAGCTGACTGGTTATAAGCAGGCTGAAAAGGCACGTCGGCAAGCGGACGAGCTGGTCGGATGGGTTGATTGCTACTGGAGCGGGTAGAATCACAGGCTGAGATGATTGGAATTTCGTGACCTCGGGGCGAGTCTGTCATCCGTGACTTCTGCTTGGCTCCGTGACACGTGCTTGTACCCTCTGACACATTGCAGTCTCGCTGCTGCTGAGCCGTGAGCCAGCGACCTGGCGCTGAGTAAGCGCACGGTTGCAGATTCCATGAGATGCTCTGGTGCCGAATAAGTTGTCTCGCTGTCCTCTTGGTATGGGGTGGCGACGGACGACGAGTATGTCTCAGCTGTGTGGAACTACTCTTGGTGCGTCACGACTGAAGTATGACGACACAGCTCCAACAGCTGCATGAAACGCCCCTCGGGCCGGTGCAACATCACGAGGTCGCATTGTTCTCTCGGTTGCCAACGAGCAGTCCACACTCTCGAGCCGACATTTGACTGTGCCAGAGCTCAACTGACAGCGGTGCCCTCGTCTGCACCGGATCGCAGCTAAGGGAGGGGCGGGTCACGGTTCTGGCATTCCTGAGATGACCATCGGTCTAGAGATGCCGCTTCGTGGCACAGTTCCCTGACAGTTGCCTCAGTGTCCTCTGTTGCCTCTCGCTGAGCAGTGACGGCCGATGTTGCTCCCTGACTCCTGAGTAACACCGCCCACTGGCAGAGGCGGCGGCGAGCCGGTAATGACGCAGCTGACATCATCTGGTGACTGGGACCGTCACGTCAGTTTCGTGAGCGACCACATCACTCACGACTGTCGGTATCTCGGCGGTCGTCACCGGTTCGCGGAGCCGGGCATCGTTCCCGAGTGTGTCGTAACTTGTCATCGGTCACTTAGGCAGGCTCTATCAGCTGTGACTCATAGTCAGCCTGGTGGACGGCGGACGTGTCTGCCAGGAATTCCACTCTCCCCTGCTGTCCATCAGAGGCTAAACGGCCGACTCCGCCCCCGCTAAACGGCAGCCGGGGGCACCCATTCAGATATTCGAGCTAAGTACACTTGTAAACGCCCTCACTTTAGGCTAGTATGAGGTATTCACCCGCCCACCACTGTGGCTTTCATTGCACCCGCGTCGCTTCCTGGTAGCCCCTGGCAGCCATGCCGCCGTCAGCCCTTATCAACCCCGCTGTCCAGCCTCCCTCGACTCCACTTTGTTCGGGCGTGAGCCACTCCCAGTCTGCGGTTGGTCGGTAGCGGCACCCTGCTGCGTCGGCAGCCCGTGGTCGACCCACGGTGTCCCTCGCCGTACCGCCGTGGGTACCTACCGCCTACAAAGGAAGCGCCGTCGCCACCGCCGGCGCCGCCACTGCCCGCGACGCTGACCTTGCTCGCTAATTATGTCCGTCTTATGAGGGGCGCGGGAACGGGGAGTGGCGACTGAGCTCCTCATGGGCTGGAAAACGCTCTTCAGTGTGGCCAGATGGCACGGCCGGCGGTGGCTAAAATTAACACAGGGAGTCACATGGCATACCCGGGAATGTCCTGTGTTTTTGCCTCTGACTCAAAATAATAACCCGAAGTCAGGCTTGTTCTGGCCTACAGGCTACTAATAGCGGTCATTGGATTCCCCGTTACGTCATCGGCCAAATTTTGTGCCAGGAAGCCGGCCGGTGTGTCGCAAACTGTCACACCTGCTGATCTGTCACCGCTTCTGTCACCGACCTGTCACCACTGCCGCTGTCGGTTGACAGACTGGCGACAGCGCCGTCCCAAACTGTCCTGTTAATAACCTCGGACGGGTTCCGGCTGACTGTTTACTGAAGCCGCTCTCAACTGTGTCGAGGCTGGCAGCGTTCCTGGGGCCGGGGGCCGGCACGCTGGCCATATAGCGCTGCCGGCGCTGACTTCAAAGCCCGCTGGCCGCGATTGCTGGCCGGCTGACTGGCTGGGCAACTGGCTAGAGGTGCTCCGGTGCAGGTGGTCGGTTTGAGGGACTCTGGTGCCGACCGTGGCGGTACAATCGGTGGCGCCGAGCGCCGGCGGTGGTCGGTAAATGGGCGACCGTGCTGTTAATAACGGACGGAGCAGATGACGGGACCGGAAAACGCACCGATGTTTGTTAGTTTACGGTACGTGATGGTTCCGGTTTGTAAGAGCTTACCGGCTAGAGGAAGGCGGGGAGTTTCACTGCTTCAGTTTTTGTTTCCTGATGTTCTGGTTTCAGAAGTTATTACACCGCCGACTGTGCGAGTTATTGACAGGCCGTTGTTGTTTATTGTAATGGGTCATTTGCATCGAATGTCTGATGGAGCCGTGACAATTAAAGGATAGCAATAAGCAGTGCACCCACTCAAAACGACTCGATCGTTTACGTATGCAATGAGAAATGATTTTTTCTTAGTGATCGGTAACTGATCTGATGAGCAATTTGTACAACTTCGACAGCCTTTTTTCTTCCCTCAGTTCCCTCATTACTTCGAATGTATGTATATACAGCCACATCCTGGGTTGATCGCCGCATCGTTGAACCCATTCACGTCCGTGTTTGATCGCTGCTCACGCTCAAATCCCCTCTCCGTGCACTCCTATTTCAACGTCAGCCTATCAGCACCTCCCATCTCTAACTCGCCCTTCCTTGCGTTTGCAGCACGCAGCAGGAGGAGAACGTTTCGGCCCACGAGAAGAAGCAGCTCAGCTCGAAGGAGGAGCTGATCTCGTTCTCGCCGGCCGAGGACACGCTGAAGAAGCGGCCGGTGGCGCCGGTCGGCCCGAGCCAGGCGCCGCCGGACGTGGCCCCGCCGTCACCGTCTCCGTCACCGACCCCGCCCCAGACGGCCTCGTCCGCCCAACTCTCCGGTCAGGAGCAGAAGACTCAGGAGCTCATGCTCCAGGAGAAGGTTAGTGCCCGCGTGGGTGGCGGCCGACGCAGCTGTGTGCATACGAAGTGGGTAATAATCCGTTTCCTGCCCCCTGGACGGGTGTGCGAGAATTGCTCCCCCCGGGGCGGGTCCGTGAGGCGGGGTGTGACCGCACTATGAGCGGGTGGCCTTATGTGTGCATGGCTGGGGCGGCGGCTGACTCTGTTCTGGATATGGTGTGCAGGGTGGTTCGCAGGGCGTTGCGAGGCTAGCTGTCTGTGTATGATGTTTGACAGACATGGAAGGCGCTGGTTAGCACGATAGCAGCTGCGTATAATCAGCGACTGAATCAAACGACCGGCCCATAAAGGGAGACGCCGCGGACTGAGCCAGATATCTGCTTATCGCACGTTATACTGAGCATTTACCACCTGGCGATAACCTACTAAATGATGTTCTGAATAGGCGTTTGTTTATCTGAACAAGTCATCAAATGATAACGCTACTGTCCGAAATAGCCTTCCACCGGCCGACTTCAAATGAAGCCGCCTGGTTAAAGTTGATTAAAGGAAATAGTTCACTTTCACGAAATTATTTTTTTTGCAATGGATTTATGATTTTTTATGTTCAAAATGATCAGCAAAGAAAATAAAACCTATTTATAACAAAAGATTATTTTCTATATTTTGATATAAAAAGAACTTTTCAGTTTCTGTAAGGCACAGGCGATCCAGTATGAAAAGAGCATGGGTTCCGAAAATTCTTCAGAAACTAGAGAAATTATCGCGGCCACCGGCATTTGGGCGATCTGCTGCTGCTGAATGTCCTTATTGATCAGTACGAGAATTTCTCTTGAGTTCTCGTAGATAATTTCACTAGTTTCTGAAGAATTTTCGGGACCCATGCTCTTTTCATACTGGATGCGAATATATGCAAGGCACACATCCTCAACGCAATACACCTTTTTCGGGACGAGAAATAGAATATCTTTGCCTAGGGTGATCGTTGGGCTGTAAAAGCTTCTGATTTATGCTCGTCTCAGCCCAAGCTACGGAACTGCTATTCCAGTTCAAAACCCATGTTAAAAAGTGAACTATTTCCTTTAAATATCACTAAATCTCAACATTTGCCTATTGATGATGCGTGTTATCTTGCATCTAATGGGTGTCATAAAATTCTAGTCTTTAACTTTGTTTTCAAGACTCGGCTGATGTGCTGGATCTGTTCTCAGCTCATTGTGACTAACAGGTGTGCCGTTCAGATTCTTAGGCTGAAGTGAAGGTTTTTCGGGCTTATAGTCGCACCATTAAAAGTGAAAGGGATCATCAGGTGATCTCATCAGTTAGTACTTACTCGTCCTTTTACGATCTACATATTTTTACACTCGGCTCCCGGCAACGAGATGAAGCAGACGTTAAATTTATTTCTGCAAACATTGGTAGAAATAAAGCGATTTGACAATGGTATGTTGAAAGCTGAATTTATGTCGTCTTCATAAACGACAGAGCATATAATTGTGGTTGTCAACTATTCATTACCATTTCATGATTATTTTCTCGGCATATGTAAAAAAAATGTCCTGCATTTCTAAGTGATGACTCCTCGAGAACAATAGCCTAGTCGGTATTATTCAGTCAGTAGGCCGACGGTCTGACGTGATGCCGCTATAATTTGGCTGCGGTGTGCTAATTCGACGATAGAGTAACCGATGGATGGAGAAAACCTTCCGAGCGGATCTATATTAGGCTGTCAATGTCTGTCAATCGTTCCTCAACTTCACTCCAAATTACCTGTCATCCACCGACACCGGTCTAGGGTCACGGCCACTAAATTCAAGTGGTTATTACATTTTCAGACCTCACTAGCGCATCCTGCCCTCGGCCTTTGTTTTAGAGCACCGTGTGAACGCGTGAGCTCGATTGCCTCGTCTGTCTGTGTGGGCACGGAGTGTTTGTGTGCTGAGTGTGGGAGCGAGGGCGTGCCTATTTACGCCTGACTGTTGTTCCGATAGTCATCACAGTGTTTGTGCCTGCCGCACTATCTGTCTGTCTGTTCCGATTACAGCTGCTGAAGCGTGACCGCGAGATCAAAATGCTGCAGGAGACGGTGGCCAAGCTGAAGCAGCAGCTGGCCGCCTCGCAGTCGGCTCAGCAGAGAATGGCCAAGGTGAGCAGCTCTCACCCGTCCCCGCTGCTTCTCACCCTGTCTTACCTCCTCCACTTCTCACTCATTTCCCACCCACCCGACATCCGACGACAGCTGCAGTCCTGCTACCACACCCTGTAATCAGTGCTGATTGCTCGCGGAGCCACTCAGTCAGCCGGCGCCGTGTGTAATGAGTGACGTATGACCGCTGCGTGACTAGGTAAATAGCGCCGTCTCCGGGAAACTACCGGTCAGGATACAGATGTGTGCAGCCTTCCGCACGGCAGGCGCCGGACGTCAGTCAGACGGGGTGCCGGGCGGGACGGTACCGCCTGCTAATTGGGATAGGGTTAGGCTTTATGCTGTGAGTGGGGATAAGCGGAAAAGACGGGATTTATTCGAAACTGGGATGATGTCAACTGTGAAATCTGATGGAACGGGTTAGTTTGTGGTTTTGTATCTTATGTTATTATTTTGCCGTTTTTTCAGTTATTCGCTCGTAGATAAAGCGGTTTATAAGCTGTGTTTACATTGCCAGTGGGTGATGTCTCCTAACATTGATTCCATCATCGTTAGCTCGCTTTTCCTCGTCTGGTAAGCCATGACGACATCGCCTTCATTAGCGCAGTCTAAAACTATATTCCTGTAAAGTAGGGGAGAGCGGGGCCAGTTGAACCACTTTTTATATATTGACATGCACAGCGAGATCTAGTTGTCATATCGAAAAATGCACAATGCCATGAAAAAATATGCTCTTTTGGCTTTATTTTAAGATATGTAAAATTACGTTTCAAACATATTTTGCTGCCAAACGCATGCTTTTAAAACAGCTCTACGCCCGTTTCAAATGACCCCGATGCGAGGGTCAATTGAACCAGCCCATGGGGTCAATTGCACCTATCCTTAACAATGGGATGTTTTCCTCTTTAAGGCCACTTTCTTAAGGAGATATTTTGTCCGGTTCACTTTTCCCAATGCTACATTCAATAGGTCGTTGGAAAGCTAAAATTGCAAAGTTCCTCATAATAGGTGACATAAAGTATATAGACTATGGTAAAATGGGCGGATGAGGAAAATGAGAAATATCTCAGGCTATAGTGTGCTTTCAAGCAAAAGGCTGGAGAAAAAGGGGTCAAAAATTGATCTCTATGTATGAAACTACTATTTCAGTTTAAAAGCTCATTTCAAAGGTGGACTATTTCCTTTAATGTTTACAGCCCCTGAACAATAACCATTGCAAAGGTCACCGGGGTCCATTGAAACGGCCTGTGGCCCTGTTTCAACTGACCCTCAGAGAAGCGTTTCAATTGACCCCATCCGCTCCCGCCATCTCGCACGCGCCGTAAAGCACATGTCAAACGAGCTGGAGGGCATGGGTGTAACTTTGTATACTTTCGAGGTCCCATGTGGGACCCCAATGCCAACATTTGGGACCTCAATTGTCATTTTGGGACCCCAATAGTGGAGGCCCCCGAGACGCACCAGCTACTTTGCAAACGGAGGTCCGATGTTCATATAAAAGGTTCTCGGTTTAAATAGGAGGCCCCTTGGACAAATCGGAGGCCCTGTTGGACAAATAGGAGGCCCCCTGAACAAGTAGGAGACCCCCTGAACAAGTAGGAGGCCCCCCGGAAAACAGGAGGCCCCCTGAAGAAAAAGGAGGCTCTCTGGACAATCAGGAGGCCTCCTGGACAAATAGGAGGCCCTAGACAAATAAGAGGCCCCTAGACAAATAGTAGGCCCCATGGACAAATAAGAGGCCCTCTGTACAAAAAAGAAGTCCCCTGAACAAATAGGAGGCCCCATGGACAAGTAGGAGGCCCCCTGCAAAAATAGGAGGCCCCCTGGACAAATAGGAGGTCTTAGACCTAGACAAACAGGAGGCCCCTTTCACAAAAGGAGGCCCCTTGTACAAATAGGAGGCCCCATGGACAAGTAGGAGGCCCTCTGTACAAATAGGAGGCCCCCTGCAAAAATAGGAGGCCCCCTGGACAAATAGAAGGTCCTAGACCTAGACAAACAGGAGGCCCCTTTCACAAAAGGAGGCCCCCTGGACAAATAGGAGGCCCCTTTCACAAAAGGAGGCCCCCTGGACAATTAGGAGGCCCCCTGAACAAGAAGGAGGCCCCCTGGATAAAGAGGAGGCCCCCTAAAAATAGGAGCCCTCTGGATAAATAGGAGGCCGCTTGGAAAATAAGAGGCTACTTTAACCAATAGGAGGCCCCCTGGACAAATAGGAGACCCCCTGAACACGTAGGAGGCACGCTGGACAATAGGAGGCCTCTTGGGCAAAGAGGCCCCCTAGAAAAATAACAGGTCCCTTGGACAAATAGGAGGGCAAATAGGGGACCTCTTGAACAAATAGGAGGCTCCATGGACAAGTAGGAGCTAGAGGCCCTCTGTACGAATAGGAGGCCCCCTGGACAAATAGAAGGCTCCCTTAACAAAAAGGAGTCCCTTCAAAAAAAGGAGGCCCCGGGACAAGTAGGAGACCCTTGGACAAATAGGAGGCTCCTGCACAAATATGAGACCCCTAGTCGAATAAAAGACCCCTGGATAAATAGGAGGCCCCTGGACAAATAGGAGGCCCCTGAACACGTAGGAGGCCCCCTAGATAAAGAGGAAGCCCCCTGGAAAATAGAAGCCCCCTGGATAAATAGGGGACCTTCTGGAGAAACAGGAGGCCTCCTGGACAAATAGGAGGCCCCATAGACGAATAGGAGGCCGCTTGGACAAATAGGAGGCGCCGTTAACCAATAGGAGGCCCCCTAGACAAACAGGAGGCCCTCTGTAACAGTAGGAGGCTCTCTGTACGTACAGGAGATCGGCGCTCGACCTGTAGAAGCTTAGCTGTATGTACACTAGGAGGCTCTCTGTGCAAGTAGTCGAAGTAGGAGGCTCTCTGTACTCTACCTACAATTACAAATAAGAGGCCCCCTGGGCAACTTAGATGCAACACAAATCGGAGGTCACCTATAAAAAAGCGGGACTTTGTTGGAATACCTGATTTAATAAATTATTTTCCTGATATTCAAATTACTTAGGTAATCCTCGTCCGCACATGGGGGGGGCAGTGGTTGCCATCCCCCCCGCCCTAGGTAGTTTTGTTCTGCTCTGCACTAAACATTTTGATTGCTAGAAGTCGGATGTTTCGTATAGCTGCTGCTCTATCCTTTTTTAGCGTCCACTGAAAATTTCAAGTTTCTGTGGTTTTTGGTTTCGGAGATATGACCTTATTCTTCAGGTAATGTCATAACCCAAATGACAAATACCCAATATCTTGCGTTGGCGTTGGGTCTTGTGAGCTTTTGACACCTTGATTTCGGCATTTTTGTCAGTCTTACCTCCCACCTATCATGGAACATGTTCACTAAAGGACATGATGTGGAGTTTGCTAATGTAATAATTGAATGAGGACTTTACTCCACAAGAAATCGTTCGGGTCGGAGCTTTCGAATTGTATTACAAAGCTTCGTCAGCGTATCGTAATCGGGTTCGGGGGTATCGGTCGCAAAATTAAGGGCGAACCCGATTACGAACCCGATTACGATACGCTGACGAAGCTTTGTAATACCTACCATTCGAAAGCTCCGACGCGAACGATTTCTTGTGGAGTAAAGTCCTCATTCAATTATTACATGGAACATGTTGTTCAATGATGTAGAGATGCCAGGGTCAGGGTCAAGGCCAACCGGTCGTCTAAAAATATTGCGTTTTAGGCAAGCTGAATTTACTTTCGTGAAGTTTCTTTGACTGTATTTTTGGTAAAAGCTTCTCAGTTCATGATCTCATGTAATATGGACACATTCACAATCGGTGCACACATCAGTATACACACAGACACACACAGACATACAAACACATGTCATTGACCTTGAGCTAACTTGACCTGGAATGACCACAGCCAGCAAAAACCTAGTCGGATAGTGTGACAAAGAGGTTCTAGCTGGCTTGGCATCACAATACGGCAGCGTCATCGGTATATGATGAGCAGCGCACGTGATATTCCAACGGGCAACGGTGACCCCAAACAGCGACATTCTTTAGTTTGACCTGAACTGGAAGGTCAATGACTGACCTGATGAGGTAAAATTGGTATCATTGGATTCGTCTCTTCCCAAAGAATCTGTTGCTCTTGACCGCAAGGCTTAAAATCTTGTAAGAAAAAATTGTGGTGATGTCGAATAAGATACCTACACAAGCAGCGGGCCAACCCATCATATACCGATGACGCTGCCGTATTAGTGCCAAGCCAGCTAGAACAGCTCTTTGTCACACTATCCGACTAATTTGCTGGCTGTGGTCATTTCACGTTAGGTCAAGGTCAATGATATGTGTTTGTATGTCTGTGTATGTCTGTGTATGTACTGATGTGTGCACAGATCGGTTTGTGTGTCCCTATTACACTTGATCATGAACTGAGAAGCTTTTACTAAACATACAGTCAAAGAAACTTCACGAAAAGTAAATTCAGCTTGCCTAAAGCGCAATAATTTTATATGACCTAAGTTGACCTTGACCCTGACCCTGACATCTGTACATCGCAGAACAACATGTTCAATGATAGGTGGGAGGTAAGACTGGCAAAAAAAACCGAAATCAGCGTGTCAAAAGCTCACAAGGCCCATAGCCATCGCAAGATATTGAGTATTCGTCATTTAGGACATGACATGACCTGAAGAACAAGGTCATATCTCCAAACCCAAAAGCCACAGAAACTTGAAATGTTCAATGGACGCTGAGAAAAAATAGAAAAGCAGCTATACAAAAAAAAAATCAGGTTTCTAGCTTTAACCCGCGAGTTGCTGGGGGGGGGGGGGCGTTAAACGCCCCACTTTTGTCGCCGGGCCATAGCATAAAAACGGCGCGCTGCAGGCGCGCCAAATTTTGGGTACCAGTAGGCAATTGATTGAAGTTTATTGTGACAAAGTTTCAAAAAAATCAGTCGGAAAATTTTTTGAGATATCGAGGTTTTAGTGACGTCATGATTTCAGAGTTTTCGACCAAAAACGGCATATGTTCAAAAAATCATATGAAATCACAGAATAGACATACAGACATGCCGTAAAGGCCATTACACTGCCAATACCATGAACAATCAAATGGCTATCTTCGATTATTGATTATCGTTCCGCATTTTCCAAAATCTTGAACTGAACCTTGGCAATTTCTCGTGACTACTTCACGACCATGATACATGCATTTCTTAAATTGAACTTTTTGAGCCAAACACGTACAGTGTACACATATGATAAAATGAATGTCACCATCGTGTTCTACGCCCCAAATTACCCATAAAACATGTGCCACAGGCTGCGAATATCAGTTTCGATTTTCGGGGATATGTGCTTACCCGGTTGACCTGACCTTGACCCTGACCTATGCTTGACTGACCCCTACATGGAGCTGACACTCTTGTAGGCCTTATATGATGAATTGTGCACCGTTTTGACAGAGTTTATGACGAGAGGCGCCCATTGCGAAGTCCTGAAGTCCATGCTACTGAAAGCCCGATTTCAGGTGTTTGACCTGACCTTGACCCGACCTGTGACCTCAAAATTCAACTTTAAAGTACTCATCTGAAGCGTCTCGTCGCGTTCTTTCGTTTGCCGCCTCGTGCGTTTCGCTGCGCCTATCGGTTCTCGAGTTTTCGGCTGGGGGCGTTTAACGCCCCCCCCCCCCCCCCAGCAAACGGTGGGTGGCGGATATACCCCAGCAACTGCCGGGTTAAAAATGTTAAGTGTAGAGCAGGAAAACTAACTTGGGGTGGCGACCCTCCCCCCAGGTGCGGGCGAAGGTTAACCCTCACACTTTCTGGGGTCGGCTTACGGCTAGATTCGTTGCGCAATGCTGTGCCGTTAATTTTTTCTATAATAAAGGCATTGTGTTTTATTGTCAAAAGTGAAAAAGCCAGAAATTTTCTTCGATTTCGGATGCCGCGGAGGATATTTACATACAATGTCACTCTGCTGGCCTGGATCCACCAGTAGGGTCAGGTGGCCTACCATTTCTTTATCAATATCAAAAAAAAAAAATCATGGCATCAGAGCTGTGACGAAAAATAAGTGGCCTAAATTCGATGAGAAAACTGGATTTGGGGGTACCCCAGGTTTGGCTTCTGAGCCTCTGGTCCCCCAATGAAAATTTCTTAGAGGGTGCCCTGGCGTGGTTCGTAAATTACCGCTTCCGCAATTGGAGGCCCCTAATTGCTTGGAGGCCCCCACTAAATGGAGGCCCCCTTGGACGTTTGGGACCCCAATGGTGATGTCAAAGTTTCACCCATGCTGGAGGGACTGCATCATGCTGAATGAAGGGCCAAATAAGGTGTTATTCCGGAGCCAGGAGTTCTTCTTTCAGCAAACAAAGGTATATGAGATATCACAAAATATTCATAAAAACGATTTCTCCCAAACGCCCCTCAAAAACACAAAAACAAGTGTCAAATCAAAATTACCGTCCGTTTGCCGCCCAAATGCCGTTGACAAAGGAAGTGGTCGAGCGCGGATGCGCAGTGGTGTCGGCAACGCCATATGTTGCATACTGTTGAAAATAAAGCCATGTTTCATCTGACCCCGTGTTTCAACTGGCCCCGCTCTCCCCTATAAACGGTGATCATTTGCGACTGAAACCCATTGACGTCTATAGTTTTATTGAAGCCCACGGCGGTCGCGCGCCTCGTGTTCGGGGACCGTTTGGGATCGAGGTTAGTCATGTAAACAGTGTGTGACGTTGACATTGAGTCGGTATGCGGCTTGTCAGCTCACGGCCAGACCTGTCGCCTGTCGTTGGCCGCAGCGGTGGGTCTCTAATGCCCCTGTCGCCCTTCCAGCGACCCTCCCCTTCCGCCGTATCGAGCCTATGACTCACTGGCACAGACAGACACACAGACAGACACGTGCGCTCAGGCTGTGTAACTGCGGAGGGCGCACATTTCACGGCTGGTAGCAGATTATTGACGCTGCAGAGGGGTAAAGTGGTGCAGTGCACAGCCATTGCAGAGACGGAACCCAGCCCTCAGCGGCCCAGACAGACGTCTTGTGCAGAGCACGGTGCCGCTTACACGGCGGGGGCGGTTTCCTGTTTACTCAGCTAATGTTATGGGCAGATGTATAAACACTGGGGCTATTCGTATGGCCATTCATTGCTCTCTTATCCACCGAATGGTTTGCTCTGGATGTCATGAACGGTACAAACCACACACGCTGCTGAATAATGTGTCTTGTTGCTGGGCGGGTGCCGGAAATGATAGGTATTAAGATGATCGACTTTTCACAAATGATATCCACCTATCACGATGTCCGCTTCTTTCTTATGCCCCGCAGCCGTGAGTGTCATAGCTACCGCGCATCGAATGGGATGTGCAGTGTGCAGTGTGCACCCGTGTTGTGGCTCGATCGATCCACAAGCAGCCCCCTCCTAACCCTTCCCAGCTGTTGGTCTCATCAGACTCGAGTCTCTCTGACATGATTATGAGTTATTTGGCCCACCCTGCTGGCGGAAACTCACAACTCACAGGGAGCTCCGATGAGCCGTGCGTTCTCCCTTAGCCAGCGCACACCGGAATATCCTGACCATGTGCAATGTCGGGAAGTCCATGGCTGGCAATACGGCTGCAGACTGCAGACAGGCTGGTGGTTTTAACGTTTGGCCGTTTCCAAGAACGGATGCTATCTTTCCGTACTTCGAAGTAGCACCAGCGTAGCGTGCTGGGGGTGGAATGTGTCGGTATTTTTTATGTGTCGGAGACGACTATGCCATGCTGTTTCCTTAGCACGGTTCGTCATTCTCTTGGATTAGAAAAGAGGGTCACCGATTTGCTAATCGTCTAAAACAGGCACTGATCAGCTCTGCTTGTCTCGCTGGTCTGTTGTCTCCATGCGTCTCCTCATCTAACCACCTCCCTCCTCGGTTCATTGATGGTCGAGCGCCACTCGTCTGCTTGCCTCCACGGGTCCCCGCGTCTCTGTCCGTCTCTCTCATCTCTAACCGCCTCCCTCTTCCTCTCTCAGGTGGTAGAGCGCCACTCGTCAGCTTGTCTCCTTGTGTCCCCGTGTATCTAACCACATCCCTTCTTCGTCCTCTTTTAGCTGGTAGAGCGTCACTCTTCAAGGTGTCTCCATGTCTCCCCGGGTCTCTGTCCGTCTCTCATCTAACCTTCTCCCTCTTCCTCTCTCAGGTGGTAGAGCGCCACTCGTCAGCTTGTCTCCTTGTGTCCCCTTGTATCTGACCGTCTCTCCATATCTAACCCCTCCCTGTTTCTCTCTCAGGTGGTAGAGCGCCACTCGTCAGCGCTGGCACAGCTGGCTGCTAGTAAGGTCCAGCAGGAGAGCCAGCAGTCACAGCAGCTGCAGCGACTGCGAGTCGAGCGCGACGAGGCCCGAGAGGAGGTAGCCAACATCGAGACCATGTTCGCCGACCTCCACCGGTTAGTGAGATTTGTATGGACAGAACGTGGATAACGGATATGTATAGGAGACTTGGACGGGACGTGGGTATTGGATATTGACGGTATGCGGATATTAGACATGGACGGGAGACAGGCAGTTGGTTTGAGGCCACTCGTGATAGGTCGAGTTGTTTATTCGTGACCTATAACGAAAACGGTAGCAGTGCATTCATACCAGGAAGAAGTGGAAGAAATACAACGCTTAAGATCGTGTTTATTCTCTATGAAACGTTGGGTTAAATCTCGGATAGATAAGTTTATACGAAATTGTTGAATGCTGTATACATATAAGATGTAACGAAACGATAAGCTGTAATGTCCGTTTTAGGTTTGCATCCTTACGTGCCGTCGACAATATTTATGTGACGTTAAGTGGCGATCTCTAAAGAAGACGTTTAACCCTCTCGTTCTCTCCGCGCAGTAAATACGAGAAGAGTAAGGCGCTGGTGGCGGAGAACCGTCAGAGCAGTGAGCTGGTGTCTGCCGAGCTGGACCACGCGCTGTCGCAGGTGTCGCGGGAGCAGCAGCGGTACGACATGCTCCAGCAGTACGCTGAGGACACCATGCAGAGGTGAGGGACGAGGGCTGAGGAGAGAGGGAGAGGGGAGAGGGAAGGGAGGGCTGACAATACGAGAGGAGAGTGGAGCTGAGGGAAGGGGCCAGTTGGTCAACTGATGGAAGAGGATGGCGTAGGTATGAGCTGATCATATAGGAGGGAAATTTTGTTTGTTTACCGTAATACAGACATCGCTTCCGTTGCTGCAATTGAAGGCTCAGTAGAAACATGGGTAGGTACGTTTTTTCAACAGCTTAGTTTATCCTGTAGGTACTTGATTCCGTCACTATCTTATCGCACTATTGAGGTTACAAGATATGTTCAGGAGAATCCATGATTTCAATTCTATGATTCTTCTCAGTCGAAATCAGCACGCGATAACCATTCAGAAGCTTGTCATTTTTACTGGGGCTTATGTTATCACACTCAATCGTATGCCTATGATTCAAGCCGCGTCACTCAACTTTGAGTCTTATGTCTCCACTTTTCCCGTTGTGTAACAACATCTGTCTTTCTTTGGACCTTGAGAAGACTCCTTAGCTAAACTCGTCTCATTATCCGCCACCTGACCTCGACATGTCATTCTCCTCAGGCTACAAACGGACATGGAGCTGGAGCAGAAGAGCCAGGAGACGGAGGCGTTGCGGATGTCGGCGCGGCTCCAGCTGGCTGAAAACAGAGCCACCAAATTAGAGCGAGAAAACCAGGAGGTGACCGCCATCTGTGACGAGCTCATACAGAAAATGGGAGGTCACCGGTGATGCCGCGGCTGGCCCGCCGCGACATCTATATTAGTCAAACAGTGCTTGCATCGTTAGTCGCTAGGTGGCGAGCCGACTGCGATGCGAAGTGCCTGAAAGACAGCGCCGCAGCGGGCGTGCGCTGTAGCATCCGTGGTGGTTGCTCTGGTGCAGCAGTCGGGGACGGCAGCTGAGCGCAGAACAGTGTGAACGATCACCAGACGCTGCCGGTTGAGAAACGCTGCGCTGCTTCGCTGCTGCGCTCGCTCGCGCTGGCTGCTGGCGCCCTCTTGTGATAGTTTTGCGTGTGCCGGCCGTCCGGCGGGTGGGCAGCTTTGTGAATGGGCACTGTGAATGTGAGCGAGGCGCGGCGCGTGGCTCATTCCTTGTACTCCACGCGCTGAGACGTCGTGGTGCTATGTCGCGGCTGCCCCGTGCAGCAGCGGAGGTGCTGTGTTGGAATTGGTGCTATGCACGGTGGTTTTCTGTTCGCTTGTATTCGTGTTGTTGAGTGCTAATTGGTCGGGTCGACTTGGGGGATGAACACTCAAAAATAGTTTTGTCGAAAATGTTGGAAAACAGTTGGAATTTGAAAGCAGGGTATTTAATGTTGTAGGAAGCAGTCTTACTTACCGACAGCTTATACTGCGCCGTCTTGCGCTATCGTATGGACGTTTTAATATGAATCTCACTGGCGCCTGTGTATCTTTAAGTGCTCGACTATTTGCTGACAATATCGTCTAATTATTTGGATTTGATTGAGAAACCAAGGTGCCAAGCATCGTCAAGTAACTTAAATCCCGTCTTTTTCAGCTGAAATATTTTATCCGTCGTTATACTGATGTCGTACACGCGAACCTTGTATCGCGTTCACGTATCCTAGATCATGACTTGTCTCACTGACTGACTCTAGAATTTACGTGTATCCTTATGTGAGTCATTGTGAGTCCTGCATAACGTTAGTCTTGTACCGAACTTTGACTGACCAACGGGCGTGCCCCGCTGCGAACTAAGCTACATATGCCTGTCAGGAAGCGACGTAATGTTACGATCTTCCTTTGCACAACTGTAGTGAAGGTACGCGTCTGCGTACTACCTATAACGGCAGTTCGGGTGTGCACTGCCGTGAAGGCATGTGTCTATGTTATAGCTGCGGTGCAGACCGGAAATACATGGGTGTACCGATGCCCCGGTGTGTTACCGAGCGCGTGGAGTGTTGGCCACATGTCGCTCGTGCTGTCTGTGAGAGGGGCGGCAATTACACTATACTGAGCTCGAATCACAGGGCGAGCTGATCTTGGGTATAAGGATGAGTGGGATCGAGGTCTTACAATCACTATTTTGCCATAAGATACTGCTCATAGCGGACACGTAGCCTCGGCATATACACATGTAAAAGTCGAGACGGACTTTTGAAACGATGTTCCTTCCTAGCCCGGGTTCGGACATGTAAGGGTTAGGCCAGGCCGTTATACCTTCCGTGGCAGTCGTCTTTTGGAAATTTCATTTTATGGGGTTTGCCGTAATTTTTAACGCTTCGAAATTCGATTGTTCTCGCCATTTTATAATCAGTACCTAATCCTTATCAGACACGCACTAAGTACAAAATCATTAGGCCTTTGTCCGCCTTCCCCAAGTACGCACTGGCCAATGTCTATGTGCTGCGAATACATCGTCTTCGAAGCCCAAACTGTATACTTCTGGCCTCTGGGCATGGACCCGCCCCAAGCCGAGACCCTGTGGAACGGTGACGTCACTTAGCGAGCTCAACCAATGGGAGTCCGTCCGTTCAGTGACGTAGCTCCGGGCACCGGTAGGCGGCTGGAAGGAGCGATGTTCAGGCGACCGGCAGTAATTCTTCCGTCAGTTTGGAACGGTGGGCTGCAGCGATTGGGGAGCGGTACCCAGCCTCCGGAGGTCCAACATGGGCACACATGCAGCGATAGAGGACGGATCTAAACGGTGAGTGTTACCTGTGCTCGGGAGTAAAATTACAGATTAGTGACGATTTCGAACTACGAACTCTTCATTTTATATCATTTAGTGTCACATTTTATGAGTGGTTACCGTCACATATGACATTGTATGCAATTTTTCTGTACCTTTTTTCAACAATATCTTGACATTTTGGTTTTGTTTAGCCCAACGTTGGTCTCCGACTATTTCTCGCTGGACTTCACCGTACCGATTATTTTAGCATTTCGGTTATTCTAGGCCGAACTTATTGTCCTAAACGGTGTCCGTCAATGTCGTGCACATTTAGAATAGAACATATCTGATTCTGCCCAGCTCAAATAGACTTGAGCTTCGTACACAACAGCGCCCTTGGGGCGAAGAATACGTGGTCCGTGGTCCATACCACTTGGCGGTAATCCAAGGCGTTTTGATGGGGTCAACGACTCAACATTCTGAGCGATTGACGTATAATAGAAACATGTTTTACATCAAAATTGACCGAAAATGACGTCATTCTGACGCCATTGTCAGCCTTCCTTTTAGGGTCTCCACATTTTCATTTTGTCAGGATGTGTAAAATTGATGTCCAAAGGGATTTACAAAGTTTGGTGACCCTACTTGCCTTCGTTCAGGAGATATGGAGAAAAGAGGACAGGGGCCCGCAACGGGGCGCGGGTTAACCTATTAAAAATACCTAAAAGGTAAAAAGGACTCGTGTGACTGAGGTGCGCAGCGACTTATTTAATTTAAGGTCAAGCAAACAAGATGCTTTGAATTTTTCCAGCAATATTATTCACGAGTGCTAAGATTTATTTACCCACGCCATGCTGGTGGTCTAAGTTTTCCGTGTCGTGCTGGAGGGGGTGGGGCGTTTTCACGCCCCCACACCTATAACTGGGCTCCTGGGCCACGTAGCGATATGCGGTAGGCGGTAGGTACTCGAAAAAGCGTCAAAACTATTGCATGAAATAATAAGGTCAATTTTTAGGTCAGGTCAGAAGTCAGGTCGCCAGAGGTCATCAAAGGTCCAATTTTGCCTATATCAACAATTTTCGAAAAACCGGCGCATTATAACTCGGGAACCAGTAGAACTACAGCGCCTCGGAAAAGTTTACCTATTCGGAAGCCCTTTTAACGCTCTCCCGGAGTGTGGCCTCAGATTCGACATCAGGTCGGTGGTTTAGTCTCCAGAGGGCAAAAACTAAAAAAACGTTAAAAGTATTTATTTTCTGCAATAACTTTTGACCCAAGAGAGTCACGGCATTATTTTTGCGAACATCGTGTTCCTCACATCGAGACGCGGCGAATCCGAATGAATTATAATTTGACCTGGAAAAGTCATTTGGAAGATTTGACTTCAAGGTTAAGGTTATGATCTGACCGGAAAAGGGCATGTTGCGATGCAGTCGATCCGTTTCGTCGAGCTGAACACATCTGAGGTGTTTTCACTGTTCACCGCTCTAGCATGTCTCTATCAAAGGTTAATGTCAAAGAACTGGTGGGGACTTTGGACCTGAGATGACCACAGGGTACAAAGAGGGGTCAATTGCAATGCAATGTCAGGTGCAATTTTCCGATTCAATGTGGCATTGTTACCGATCTATACCGATGCTAGAGTGTTTTTTTTTTTCATTAACTTGTAATGGAGAGGTCGCAAAATTGACTTCACCTTAGGTTTCAGGTACCTACCTATCGAAATTCCGAGAAAAAAAAACATTTTATACATACTGATACTCTTAACAATCGCTGAAAGTTTCAAAGCGATCTTTCAGTCGGTGCAAGCTATGGCGAGCATTGGAACTTTTTCTGAAGTAAGGTCACTTGATGTGACCTGGTAACCTGACCTTGAACGACCCGGGTTCGAAATTTTCACAACATGTGCAGAAAAGATTCATGAACAGGTGCATCAAAAACGCCGGCACTGCACAGTGCACGCCGCCGTTTTTACATATACGAGTATTTGCGAAAAAATATGAGGAGGCGTAAGAACGTCCCCCTCCCCCAGCACGTAATGCTTGGCTAAAATAGTAACATATACTACGCACTGGTAACTATAAATTATTAGAGCTATTACTGATCTCGACTACGATCTGCATTGGTAGCGAATTTGGTCATCGCAAGAACGTTCAGGCATTGCGAAGTCTCTTTTGCCTTTTTTAGTGGCCAGTGTGGCCTTAACTTTCGTTAAAGGCCTCGCGAGGAAGACGGCGACCTAACTACGCCGTGCGAGGAAAACCGGCCGACCTAACTAAAGTCGGTGGCCACTTTATTGCCAGGCAACATAGAGATAGTGCGTCCATTTGCCCCCATGAAAGTAGCTGGAGCGTCAGTGAGGCCGCGGTATCCCCGAACAAGCCCCACCTGTTCAAACCTAACGTTGGTTACCTCACTCCTGCGTCATCTAGGCACTGGCTGTTGACAGATACATAGGCGAACCCTCACGCTCTCTATCAGCGGCGATTGCTCTCGTTTCAATCGACCGCCGCCCCATTAAGCGCCATTTGTGGAATCCGTAAACACGCCTCGATGATCTAAGGTCCGGGCATCTCACAGACGAGAGCAGAGCGTTCACACCTCTAGATGAAGGACTCTTATCGGAGGCTGCAGCCTGCGGGCCTCAACGGTAGCTAATGCACTGTGACGTAATGCACTAAATCACCAGTGACGTCATCCGATTTAGTGGAAGAGACGAAGAACAGTGGTCCAGTCCAGGGTAGGTAATCTGTGCACGTAAAATATCATGGGTATAGGTACGCTGTAAAATACAAATAAAGCGTGTGATTCCCTTACGGTCGCGTAAATTATATATAATTTAATTATATATAATTTACGCGTCTCGTCCACTAAATCGGATGACGTCACCGGCCAGTGCATTAGCTACCGTTGAGGCCCGCAGGCTGCAGCCTGCGATAAGAGTCGCTATTAGGAAGCTTTTCGCTCCCAAGCTTCCATGGGTCAGCCAGTTTTACAATTAGATATGTACCCTTTCTTTTAGTTTGACTACTTTGGTGCTTCATCCGCATTATCGCATGCACCCATACGACACAATCGACTTAAAACAGTGTCTCTGAATCTTTTTTACTGGTCGCTCTGCGATGCTTTAGTGACTGCCACCGTGCTGCGCTCGTGCAGTAGGTACCTACATATGTATGTAGGCGGTGAAACCGGCCATCTTGGACCGCCAGCCTCGCTCTGCGACTGCTGAACTGATGGCTGTTTGCACGCGTGTTGTGAGTGTGTCCAAACAGGAGATATATCACCGTTCGGTGGCGTTAAAAATGACAACGGTCTATTGTGATCAACAAGCAATAGATGACTGTGAATGTTTTACACGCACTTTGAGTAGTGAATAGTACCTACAGTATGGGGATGATCGAGTTAGTGGTTGAATGACTTAATCTGGCCTATTAACTGTTGACCGATTTCATTGAGAGTCAAGTAGGTACTGCATTTCACCCATCGATGTGTAGGTATTACGATAAAATATCTCAGCAGCTGGTAGTCTTTTTACCAACTTCGCTGGTTTGCGGAGTAGGTATCCGTTGCCTTCATTGGAGATTCAGATAAAAAATTGCCTTTTCTTTTAATCGCCATTGATAAAATAATAAAAAGCATTTCATGTGGCCGAGTTTTACCCAACGAAACTAAAAACACCAAGCACCGTATAGACGCTAACGTCTCAACGAAAGCAGTAGCCACTTACCGATGTCAAGCGCACAAAGCTGTGCACTTCCAATTATCACCGAAATCAGTCGGCCGTCACTGAACTCGCTCATTAACAGTCTGATTTATTGGCTACGAGCACCTGCACTGACATCGACTGACGTTAAACGATCGCGGCTCTGACACTTATTGGGCGATAAGAAGCCACCGGTTCTTTTTGTTGGTGTTTTGACAGCCAAAGTGCACATGTGTGCGATTTGCATCAGGCTGGACCGGCAAAAGGGCGAGTGACTTGCTTATGTTACATGTTGCCGCAAAGTACCTTCTAAGTAGCAGTATTCTGACATTGCAGTGATTTATTACGGGCGGTAACGTTTTGTGGAATAGCTAGCCGCTGTTTCCGTTCGCATGCACCTTATCTACTGGTGTTACACATTTTAGATCTTTCACTGAGAACTTTTAGAGAAAACGGTAGTCTATTACACACGAAACTCATCCAAAAAGCACGGTCTCATAGAATGCAATCATGTATGTAAGGTATACCTACCTATCTTTTTTGCTACCAGTGCGAATCGGCAAACGGGAACGCATGCATTTCATATGATCTTTATTTTATAAATTTCGAGCGTATGATGGAGTTGAAGGGTTGAAAAGGCCAGAAGCCCAGATACACTAAGAAGTCTGCCCAGGCCCATAACCTGTGTCCCGTACCATCCGATTGGTCAATTCCGCCTTGAATCAGCACCTCCTGTGCCCTGAAGAGTTACCATTCGATCACCGTCTTGTCGTTAGTTATATATGGTTTGGGAAAATCACAATGCAAAACAAAAGCAAGGTGAATGGAGCACATTTTTTTACTTTATAACCAAGTCTCCAGAGCGTCCTATTAGGCTTCAGGCACCGTCCAGTGCCACCATGCCACTGCCAGCAGTGACACGCCCTGGGAACGGCATATCACGGCGACGCCATTTGGTGGCACGGTCGACACGCGCTGCCATACGGTCGGCACGACAGTGACCTCTGGTGACCTCTGGTGACCTGTAGAGTGACCGCACTGGCCAGCTCGGCTCCGGTGACTGGGAACCGAGTAATATAGGGGTGTGGTGTGGTATTCGGAGGTCACCGACATTTGTGGCTGCGGTATGGGGTGTGAAGAGATGAAACTGCGCTACCGGTGGCGGTTCACTCGAAAAAAGATCTAAGTGCTAAATGACCATGGCATATGCAATGCAAATGCATCTACGAATATAGCAGTGATGAATAACGGAAGATGAAAGCAAAGACTGGCTGCTCTACGTCATTGCATCTTGTTGCTAGCACTGCTTCCTTGAGCTGCGTAGTGCATTGGAGCTATGGAAAGTAAAGGAACATAGCATTAAATTACAAACTTCCGATCGGCTTGCTTGATGTGCGGTCCCACCAAAGGCGAAATGGCCACAGTGCATGCCGGCGGCAAAGGAGAGGCGTGCTCAATCGTACGCATAACAATGTTCTTCGTGTGGGGCCTGCACTTTGTGTGTTGAATTGCAGATGCAAGAAAAACAAAATGGAGCTGCTTGATGACATGCATTCAGGTCACGTAGGCATGTAGCTTGGTACTGCGATATGTCGTTGCGTGCTAAAAGCCTAAATAAAATCCTTTCTGTGATTGACAGATTCGCATCTCCGGATCGATACACCAGCATCTCTCCTCCACGACTCTCTCAGCTGTCTCCGAGCTCCTCCCTGGGCTCCCCTCCCTCTCCCCACGGCTCTCCGCTGTCCGCCCACCTCTCCCTCTCTCCTCAGCTGTGTCCAGCTGTGTGTCCGCAGCTCTCCCCGAGCCGCGAGCTACCGCAGCTCTCTGAGAGACAGCTGTCCGTGCTGGAGGCGAGCTTCCTTGTGAACCGCAACCCGCGCCACAGCGACCTGCTGCTGCTCGGCGCCGAGCTGGAGATGGACCAGCCGCAGATCAAGGTAGGGACTGGGCGGGCTTCTTGTAGCCGCTCGCGAAACTAAGCGAGATCATTCCTTTATATGTGACCAGTGATCTAAATATGTAAGCATATGCTCGCACACCGTTATTACGAGAATCAAAAATATTCTCAAAGTATTTTGACCTCAAGATTTCCCATTTAAGTTCTTGGCACTGCTTCATAATTAATTATTCCTCGTGATGGTGATGAAAGTGCGTGGCCCAGATGATCAGCATTGAGAATGTGAGCTCGTGTGTGCCAACAGCGCTGGTTCTGTCACCGCCTGGCCTGCTGGAGACAAGAGCAGGGTCTGCAGCCCAACGGACGCCGTGTGGACATGATGTGAGATAGAGTTGCAAAATTTCCCTACCGCACTACCGGCATGCCGGTAATTTTTCACTACCGCAGGTTTTTTCGTGGTATCTGGCATGTCTTGCCGGTAGCATGCCGGTATTTTTGATTTTGCACAAAAAATTATCAGCATATGATTCAAACTTTGGACACTAAGAGGCTATTGAATTGTAATAAGTTGGACAATGGGTGGCTGTTGGGTGGGGCGGTTACTGAAATTGCCAAAATGTGGCATCTCATGTAGGGGTAAGCCAGAATCAAGAATGCAGGTTTTTTAGTATGCCGGTAATTTGGCGGTTTTTTTGCTTGGGGCGTGGTAGCATGCCGGTATCCCAGAAAATGTTTGTGGGGCGGGGCGGTGCCGGTAGCAGCCCATTGGGAAAACTTTGCAACTCTAATGTGAGACCTCGCCTCAGAACGGACGGCGATCGGGACTCGAAGAGGCTAAACAGAGGTGTCAGTGTTGAGGTAGCGCAACGTGACATAAAGAAACGCCACTGATGTTACCTGACAGCAGAGCGGCGGGTGACACTGCTCTCAGACGCGGTTACGAGACGGTACAAAAATAATTGAAGAAAAGGTGCGTGCAGATTGGAAGGACAGATCATGCAACGCCCGAATTGTGGGGACTGAATGAAGCGAGTAGCGACACAGGTGTGTTGAGTGTTGGCAGTTGCCACACGTGCGTTACGATGTGGTGCGAGAAGTACCGTAGTGTATAAACAGTAAGCACAGTATAGAGAAGCCATAGAAGTAAGGCTTTGGGGGAGCGGTGTTCAAAGTGACCATTGCATGATGTTTTTTTTCATGCGGTGGCAGTAATGTGGTAGACACCGCAGGCTCTGTGTGCACCTTGTTGCAGACGTGAGACGCACAGCGTATGGGACACGTATGTTTCACTGTCATGAGTGATAAGTAAACAACTGGCGCAGGACTATATGAACTACACATAATTTCCTGATAAATTCTATCGATCATTTTTGTCACGCTTGATTCATCGACATCATCGCTGACCGGATATTTTATTTCATAATTGATATGATTAGGTATCACTGAATGTTACCTACTCTGATGACCTGTATTACTTTATAAGACGAATTTGCGTAAGAAAATGGATAAAAATTGGGAACTGCGCTGGCGAAATATAGGACTTTAAATGTTTAATTTCATTTATTGCTATCCCGATCCCGACAAACTTATGAACTTGAAGCCGCCAGAAGATAAGGCAGTAGATATATTTGTGCAGGATTCAAGGGTCAACTCAAACTTTCAGAGTCCTTGATTACGTGGTCGTGGCCCTCGACCTTATTCACTAGTGGGCATCTATCAGTATCTATCTTTAGCCACCCGTCAGTCATTGGCCTAATGCGAGAATTGCCCTCTCGCCATCTACACAGCGGAGCAGAGAATGGGCTCAGGATGGTTCTGCTCAGTACCGCCAGGTGGCACTGAGCACCCACGAGTCGAGGGCCAGTGGCCACAGAGAGCCAGACACATTTTCTGTGTTCGACACCACTGATTACATGAGTTCAATTGCTCCAATCCTAATTCCGGCTCCGACCGTCATTTTGAGTTCAAGGTGGATAAATAGACTTCCGATCTGTCGCTTCCATCCTCAGGATAGTCATCTCCTTCTCCTCCACGCCTTAACCCCATGTTCGTTGCTGGAAGGGCAACTTTATCCCATGCGGGATAGCAGCAAGCCCGTAGCCGGGTGCGATGAGTGTCAGGAGGCTGGCGGACTGTCGACTGCGGTGGATGGGCTGGGTGGCCTCAATCGTCCGGACTGAGCCCATCCAGTGCACTGGATGGGCTCAGTCCCGACGACTACCCAGAGTGCCCGCCCAGACCAATGTCGTCCCCTATATGTTACTATATGTTACTATCATTCTCATTCCTCCCGACTCTGATATGGCCTCGTTAGACCGAAAGAGCCCAACTCAACAAAACAAACAAAATTGTCTTGGAATTCAACTATGATTTTAAGCAGCCTGTAGTGGTCACCTATATATGGCCTTGGTGGTCACTATGTATAGTATGTAAATTCGGTTGCCTATGAAAGCTTCAACTATGTGCAAGGACCCATGCCCTCTTGCAGACGTTCTATCCCTCCAGTGGGTATATCATATTCAATGTTCATGCCTTATAGGTCGTACCACTCGAGCATAACAGGCGAGGAAAAACCATAGGACCCACTCCCTCGAGGCGCCCGGGCCGTTACAACGGCTAGGTGGTACTGGTCAATGGTCATATCCCTCCAGAACACGCCATCTGAAGGAGATAAGACACCTCAGTTACTATACATAACTGCATTGCTGGTAACTACGTGTCTAATGCACCACTAATGTTTTTTAGATTGTAGCCTGTAGGATGGAAGCTTTATATGGAAGCTAAACGTGCAGCTATGTAAAAAGCTGCATAGTTCTATATTATTTTTTCATTCGTGTATTCATTTATTCATGTATTTGAAACTTCCCTATCAACTCTGGACTCTTCATGCAGTTTTGCACATGTGAATGACGTCATGAATCAGTAGGTAAAACTTAAAAGTGGTTATAATGTCATGCAATGCTGGCAAAATTTTGCAGCTGATGGCACTAAATGTCGAGCCTACGGACTACCTCACCAACTTCTCCAGTCCAACGATACACGTCATGCAGTGCCGTGGCTGTGGGCGTGGCTGTAGCGTTAGCCTTCGACCATAGCTGCTAGGCGGTACAGCATCCTCGCAGGCGCTCGATGTCAGTGACATCTAGCGGTAATGATATTGTACAGATATGCAGAGCAGATTACATTACTCCTGTACTTAAACATTATCCATTGCACGCCATCAGACTTTATGAAAGGACTATTGGCTTGAGAGGCCACCTTCTGAACGACCTGGAAAGAATTGCGCGCTCGGCGTTGCTATGGCATGACTTCCATTGAAGTTGCAATGTTGATTCGCCAGCGTTGATCTGAGAGTCAACTCACAGCATCTGCAACTGTCAGCGGTTTATCTGTATCATCCAGCAAACACACCCGCGCCAAGCCAGCACAGTTTATTGATGATATCATGACCGTGAACGCCGCCGCCGCTGTTTATATTACGAAATCGCTACGTGGTAGAAACATACACATGTATGCAAAGCCTCCTGGGACAACATAGCAAGGGCCAGTGGCATCGGTCTAGACGCTGTTTGCACATCTAATGGCACAGAAAGCACAAATTTGTCGCGTCTGCACTTGCAAATCCTTATACAAACTGCGAAACAAGGCGTATTATTATTCTCGGCGGCACATAAAAGCTCGATGCATGAATGTTGCAGTGAGGCAGTGAAGAGGCGACTGGCCGGTTCTCCTGCAGAGAGGCTCCTCTCGTTCAAACAGGCGATAGTGGGTGAAGCGGCTACACGCTGTAGGCGACCAGCACCTGGAAGTCTGTGCAGTCGCAGGAGGCGCCCTGGTAGGGAATGCAGCAGACGCAGTGTGTGGTGTTCATCTGTGGGCGAGGGGCAGCGGATCACTGAACACCTCAAATCAATACAAATGCTGCAAATTAGTGCTTATCTTCATAGTTCCTTGCATAGTAAATTGAACTAGTTGGCGTAATAATATTAAATATATCACCAATATATTCGGATATATTTTTGTTTACGCTGGCTCACTGCACAGCAGCTATCCATTGCACTCTTTAGTCTTATCTGCTTTTTAGACAACAAAAAGAAAGTTATAATGCAGCTTTAGAAATATGCTCGTGCAGTTCATTAATAATATGATACTTATGCTTCCATCAATCAGCTCCGTTTAAATTTATTAACACCTGGTCCTGAATTCAGCTCTACCAAAGTTCAAATACCTGTACGGCTACTCACATGTCCGATGATGAATTTGTCGTCCTTTTTGGCGCGCGTCACGTAGAGTTTGTGACCGGAGCAAAGGTAGCCAGCCTCGACGGCTCCCTCGGGCATGTTGGAGCCGTCACAGGGCTCCCAGCGGAGGCGACGGCCGTCCGTGGGCTCCAGCAGCACCTATGGGGGCGGGAAACACATTGTTAGCGGCACTTGATCCCGAGTGTAGAGGTAGCAGCCGTCATTGGCTTCCAGCAGAGGCATGAAGGAGAGACGATCTACTCGTAGGTAAACGTCTATTGTTAACGACACAGGCGGGCTCTTATAAGCTGGCGTTGCAGTTGTTGTAGACCGAGGATAAGGAGACGAATGCCTTTTCATCTGTGAATTGAAATTTGGCTAGGAAGGATTGTGCTAACACAGTTTGAGGCATATATGTAGGTATGTCTCAAACTGTGTTAGCTCAAACTGTGACATATCACAGTGTGGGAATCACACAACTGTCAGCGGCACATTGAAGATGTGATAGCAGCGTAGAAGCCTGCGAAATACTCATATCAGTCACGTGCAATGTTCCAGGTTTGTTTAAATCTCGGAGAGTCCCCTTCAACTAAGCTCTGCATCATTTTGCCGCGTCTTGACCAATCAAATCATAGTAAGAGCCATCTCATGTCACAGCCACACTAAGTGGCCCTCCGCCAGTCAGCTTACCTCGTACTCGTCTTTGTTGAACTGTTCGCCGCAGTAGCCGATCATGCAGCAGGACTCAGCGCAGACCACGGGGCCGACGATGACGCCCTGGTCGTGGTGGGCGCGTCCGACATAAGCGCCGTCCACCTCGACGGCGCCGTCAGGCACCGAGCCAGCCGAGCCGGGAGCCCACTGCAGGTCTGCCGGAAACGAAACACTTCCGGTCAGAAATGAGACATTCGTTATGGCGTGTGTGTCAGCATAGCATGCCTGCGTGTGTGCTATATAAATATAGCTGGTAGTCATTTATGTAGATGCTGGGCATGTTAAATGAGAAATAAATTCAATGATCGATGTGTTCATTCCTAATCGGCATAAGCGTAGAACTGCTGACAACTGTTTTTTAGCTTGGCTTTCAACATATCACAGTTCTCTTATTTCACAGTTCTCTATTTCTGATCTCTTAGCATCTGACCTCCTATATCAAACTTATCTTTCTATGTAGTTGAGGTTTATTTGCCATTAGGTCTACAGTGCAGGGATATTTCTATCTCGCACTCCTCTGAGATGCAAAGATAAGGTCTCGAGGGTTCATAGTTAAAAATCAAGAGTTCAGGTGATGATGGGTCAATTATAATCGAACCATTTTTAATGGTTGTTTTTGTATGAAACTTATGAAATATTAGAATAAAGTGCGCTAAAACTATTTTTCCTTAGATGAGACCATTTAAATATAACGTTTAATTAATTAAGAATAAACCTCAACGTAGAAAGATATAGGATTCCTCATGGCTCACTCGTGGAAGATCGGATATCTTTTCCTCGCGTGTTACAGAAAAACCTCGCTCCTTCGTCGCTCGGTTTTTCAGTAACCCGCTTGGAAAAAATATCCTTATCTTCCACTCGGAGCCATGAAGAATCATCTATATCCCAAGATGCTGTTTCCTCCGTTCGGTCGTTTCCATCCTCAGGATAGTCAAATCCTACTCCTCCACGCCCCAACCCTAGGTTCCGGGCTGGACGGGCAACTTTATCCCATACGGGAAGTTTCCATACGGGAAGTTCCCATTATACGGCCCAGCCCGTAGCCAGGTGCAGTGAGTGTCAGAGAGGTTGGGTGGCCTGCCTGGATGGCTCAGCCCCGACGACTCACTAGGGTGCCCACCCAAACCAATATCTATATTACCAGTAAAACGCCTTTTGGGCGAAGGACGAGCGAGCGAGATAGTGAGCCCTGCACGTGCGGAAGGGCGAGAGGGTACTTCCAACGGACTTGTGCAAAGCACCCTTCTAACCGGTTGCTAGCGGTGTGCCAAATTTGAACGCAATCGGCCCAGCCGTTCCTGAGATCTGGAAGCGGCATTTTGCACGTGCGCACGTGCAAACGGGGTTCAAACTGACTTTTGCACGGCACCCTCCTAACCGGTCCCCAACCGTGTACCAAATTTGAGCGCAATCGGCCCAGCCGTTCTCGAGATCTGGAAGCGCCCCCTGCACGTGCGCACGTGCAGTAGCACCCTAACCGCAACACATGGGAATGCATTGCCTGGTGGGTGCCTACCTGTATGCCAAGTTTCAGCGAAATCGCCCCAATAATTACCGAGTTATTGAAATGGGAACAAATTTGACACCTCTTATTGTTGTATTTTGCACGTGCACTGGGGGTCACTCACATAGATCAAGAGTATCCGACCTTTGGTAGAAGGCATGCAGCTACCCTATAAAAATTAATGCAAGACAATCGCTCAAGCCGCTGCTGAGATATGGGCCTCTCAAAATCACTACTTTTGCAAAACTGCTTGAACACCCTTGACTTTTCACGTGGCACGTGCCACGACGGTCACTGAGATGTATCAAAAGTAGTCAATTACGGGGTAGAAGGGATGGGGCTACCCAGCAAAAAAGACCGCAGGGCAATCGGTCCAGCGGTTGCTGAGATATAAGCCTCTCAAAAGCGTTACAGGCCGGGCCGGGCCGGGCCGGGCCGGGCCGCTCATACTGAGATTTTTCCGTTATATTGAAAAGACTTCGCTTCGCTCGCTGCGCTCGCTCGCTCGTAACTATTTGAGGAGGGTGCGTCTGTCCGTTACCGAGGTCCCGACTTGGTCGTACTTTGCGTGGACTACAGGCCAGACCGTTGCACCTAGCCCGGTGAAATTTGCACAACTTATAGATCAAGGATGCGCGACGTGCCTTTGAGGGGTCTCAGCTCGATGGGATTGGTAGGGAGCGCGTGGCACGTGCTCAAAAAGTGCAAATTCGCGTCATAGACTTTACATGTATAAATCGGCTTGCAAAATCGGGCGAAAATGGCTAAATTTGCCCGACACGGGTCCGATCCCCGTGCAATATCTCGGTAACCGTGGGCCGGATCGGCACGGGGAAAACAGCATTGTGTAGATAACTGAACAGGCTATCGAATGATATGCGGTGCAGGGGATGGCACGTGCCACGTGCACCCGTGAGGGTACTTTGGTTGAAAAATTGCGTTTTTTGACGGATTTTGGAATTGATTTTATTTTTAGGTGACCATTAAACGGAGCGAGTTGGAGCAGCGCCTGTTGGCAAGAGAAATGTACCGCCTCTCATGGGAAAATTGTGAAAAGCTGATTGATCCAAATCAAGGTGGTACAAATCACGGGAGAAAATGGTGTTTGTCTATTTTGTGCCACTTTATTAATCACACAGGTTTTGCTCAATGATCTGATATATCTGGCAATTAAAAATGGCACCGTTGGAAAGAGCATTCAATTCCGTCCAAGGTTCAGTCTTTATTTTTGCATGATGAGCAACAATATTCTTAAAAATGTAAATGTTCCAAACCATTACATTGTCATTTTCAGCGAAATTCATCGATGGCCCTCAAAAGACTTCACGCCAGTTTTCGAATCATTCTTAAGTGTAACGCATGATAATACGACACGGGCACCTCGATGCGATGTATCTTTTTTGTTTTATTACAAAATGCTTGACCATCAAAAAGCAATCGAACGAAATGGATACCAACCAAATCGACACAGAACAACCCAATGCCCGCGGGTCACAAATAACCCTTCTTCGCGTTGCGGAGCACGCGGGTAACCCTAGTCTTCCACTAATTCCTATCATCCATCCGGCTCTGAAATGGTCTCGTTAGACCGAAAAACAAACAAGATGCTGCTTTCACGTGATATCCGGTCGTGAAGCAGCTTCAATATCACAACAAGGTCGTTTCGGTGCAGCCCCACCGGAAACACAACTTCCCGCTCACCCTCCCCTGCCATGCGGGGCCGATGCCAAATGGACCAGAGCCGAGCGCTTCTGATGAGTTCGAACCGCCTGACGACAGCCAATGCAGCGTCGGGAATCAGACCCATGTGCAAACTCTGACCATAATTTATCGCCGTCTTAGCCTGCACCAAGCAGGACCCCTGGTTAGCTGGCTGCCTGCAGCGGGTTCCTATCTAAAGCTATGCTGTCGTATAAGTGTGCCTAGTAAATTGAGGCACGGTAGCTAGTGTTTATTTGTACAAACGTCATGAGTTTTAGTTAAAACACGTTTTATTTTCAATGCGTGCAGTAAGATATTTTTAGTTGCCTTGATAAAATATGCAATGCAGAACTCAGAAGCCTTGAGCCTCGTCTCTAGCTTTTTGCCGTCGTCCTGAAGGCTAAAGCATTCATTATTCAAGCCAGTCAGGTAATGGGGCCCTGTACCTCTTTGCGAGAACACCGTCCTAAATGGGGAAAATCATAATTACTACTCCGTCGCAGTTTTGTTAGCACAAGAGCACCATGCCTCACTACAGCCGCCTTTTTACCGCGCACCAACTTGCAATACGCGCGCCGTTTCGCCATCAGTCAACAAACCAATGCGACGGTCAGTGAAACTGCACATTGCACACGACGGATACCTTCTCTGCACCGCTGTGCACCACTGCGCACCCCCCTGCACCCTAACCTCCTCCCCTCCCCCCCCCCCACAGTGCGACGTGTAACAAATGGTCCTCGCGGCGCACGGTGATGTCATGCATCCCCGTGGAGCCGCGAGCGCGTCCGAATACAAACACATTCATCGGATAGATAGGCGCGCAAAAACAACGCTACGCTCCACCGTGTGCCGACGTGCGTTCTGAATGGGCTTTTAGGGTCGAGCAGAAGAAGCGAATATTTACGACACGTTCGTTTGTAATTAGCAATGGTGATGAGCGTACCACTGCCAATAATGAGCTGAAGATCCGGGACGCATAAATAGTTACTCGTAAATTCAACAATCGGTATAAGTGATCAGAGTATTTTTGCCAAACTTTTGGTATAGTGGTATCAGCACGACTGCTGCAATGGGATTGTCCTTGGTTTTGAACTTACTTTTAAAGATAATAAACATCTATTGCACTGTGAAAGGATGATGAGATCGGCGAGAAAACTTACCTGTTTAACTCGCCTTTTCGGTGTTCTCTGGTCTGAAAGTTGCCAGGTGGATGATGATGATTTGGTGTTTTAGGGCGCACCAGCAACGAGGCTATATGGCGTAGAAGAATGTACAATACATGTACATACATGGAGGGAAAGGAGCCAATGGTACCCACCAGCTTGTGCCTAATGTCCGTTACAGTTTTTGTTCCACCGTGGCTGTGGGACTTCCAAGTTCCAAAAGAGACAGGTGTGACGGAGGACAGCTAAGCGTAAGTCATACGCGATACTTGAGGCGACGTTCAGTTCGAGAATAATAGCTCGTAGAAAGCACCCATAGCTTTTACTTATTGTTTAAACAAGCTCCAATGGCATGACTGGCTAGGCACTGTGAAGTGTAAATGGCTTACTGAGCTCTAAGTTTAGAAGAATTATCTATTTTCGCATTTACCCTTATATGTACTAAACATATTTCACCTACTAATGACCACGACACTGCAACTGATTTTCAGATCGCAATCAGAATAGACGTTGCCATAGCACATGCTTACATTGCGATTAGTGAGTTTTGCGATGCGTAATAAAAAAACAAATGAGGTGTCCAAAATCAAAAACATATGTGCAAATAAAAATCCTTATTTATTACTAGCTTAACTGAGGATCTCTATAAAAAGCGTAAAACTCAGAAAAAAATAAAACAAAGTGAATACAATTTTTTGTTTCACAATAAATTCCCTAATTACCGCCCACCCTGTGCAGGCTCCTACCTGCCATGCTGAATCGGTAGGTGTGTCGGTGTGTCGGCGGGTGCTACGTGCCGGTGCTGTTCGGTCGGAAGTCGGAGAGGCACTGCGGACGCTGGGCCACCCTCCGGGAGGGCGCCGTCTCGCCCCTCCGCCGCCTGGCCGGCCGCCAGCCCGGCGCGGCGTCGGTCAAACACGGGGGTGATAGCAGAGCCGCCACGCCACGCCGTAGCAGCTGCAGCTGGGGCGGCGTGGTGAGTCGACAGGTCATGGCGATAAAGGTGGCAAAGGAGAGCGGGAGACGGCGGTGGTTTGCGGCACGACAGGCAGCGATAGATGCAAGGGCCAGGCGGCAGGCACGGCGTCCGAACATAAAGTGAAGATTTGCTGTCTACTCGAATTTCCCTATACGTTCGAACCCCTCCTTTCTCACAGTATGTAATTAAACGGTAATAGAAAGTGACTACTTCAGCATAACAGTCCTTATCAATTTCCGACTGTATGCCTGTACCTATATGTAGGTACCTAATTGCAAAATGTATGCTTTCCATTTATGTTATGCAAAAATGTTTGGGTTGTTTGTCATTTGAAGACGGATTTCTAATCAAATTCCGCTAGTTATCCTGCCAATCAGATACCCACACCGAGTGGTATCAAACTTCAGCTGAAATCTTGTTTCTGATAATTCCTAGCTAAGTGCAAATACGCATCACACAATAAGCCAGAAACAAGGACGTGGGTCAAGCGTTGACTGAACTTGTTATCAGCCGGATGTGTGGTTGCTCTTTAACTGATGTGACCAAGATGTGACACACATTCCTGGGACTGTAGGTACGTAGCTCATCGAATTGAAGCGTCGGTAACGCAAACGTATGCGTCAGAAAAGATAAAAACGATGCTGGCGATTCCATATTGTCGAATCTTGAAGTACGCTAAGAGGGAAGTGGTGTAGCATGCGCTACGCAGCCAGCTGTAAGTAATAAATTCCGAGAGATTTTGTCAGGATTTTGTCAAGTGGTCCATTACCCATGTGTCTCCACGGGTAATGGAGATGTAATGGAAATGAACCATGTCTCCATGGGTAATGGACCCAATACACCTATGCATTGAAGAGAACTATATATTCGTGTGCCGATGGAGTCTGCAGCAGGCATAACGTCGTCCCGTTACAAACTGTATTAGAAGCAGGCCGCTTACCCGTGGTCGGGTCACCGTAAACAGTGCTCGAGGCAATGGGCGAATCCACCTTGTAAGTAAACCGGCTTATGTGAGTACATCGCCCTTGAGTAATGTTCTTTATCTTTATAGTTCCCTAACGGTCGTTTCGCATGAAGCGATTATTTTCCATTAGTGTGCCTCCTTGGTCTCTGAATTGTTTCTCAGTGCAGCAAAGACACCAAGGCCAAGATGGTACACAAAGCGATGAGCGTTTCTGGATAATGTAACCACCAAGGTTCTTCCCGTTACCCAAGCCGCTATAGTTCTCATGTAACGGAAGACATTCTATAATTGACAAAAATGATGATAGAATGAAGACTCATGACGTGATTTATCAAACTATGGGGCGTGGAGTCGAGGTAACAATTCCATATACGAATATGAAACAATATTCTGATTATCTTGGCCGTAGCAAATCAATATCTCAATTGGTGAGCGTTGCGATGGTCCAAATCGCCCCTAGCAACGCTCCCCCTGCCTGTGCGGCCGTGCCTGAGCCGTGAGCAGCCCCTAATGGCCGCTCTCTGTTGACGTTATCCTCACCGTCTGTTTATGGTTCGGCAGCTCGGTGTCTGCTTATGCTTCGCCAGCTCACCGGTGCAGAGCTGTTTACGAGTCTCGACTGGGTGCCGACTGCGTGCCGACGGTGCAGGGTGTCGGCGACTGAGCTGAACGGCGGGGAGGCCAAACTGTTAGTGTTCAGAGTGGGTCGCAGAGAGAACGGTGCCCAAATTGTAACCATGGCCAGAGGACGCCATTGTCTATTTCTTCTTTCTGTAAGATTACTGAGAAAGCTCGAAGGGAGATTTGAGTCATCAGTCAGGTGTCCTGATATTTAGGATTTGATGCTACAATCATATTTTTAAAGCTCACGTATTTTGTTGTCATGTGATAATAATAAGGATTCCTTTTGGAATGGGCAAACAGTCACTGTTTTTCAAAACGACTGCATATGAAGAAAAAATAAAAATGCTAAAACCAATTCGGTTCAGTTAAAAAAACTGACACAAAATATCTTCTGTGTTTTTAGCACATTCGTATCAAACAGCACGAATCCTTGGGTTTTGGATCATATGCAAAATGTTACAATTTTATATAACCGATGTTGATGTGGTGAATCGGGCCACTGCAACGCCGGGCGTCTGCAGCTTTCCCTGACACCACCTGATAGCCGTGCGATGTACCGTGCCTGGGCATGTCGAGCAGGCTACCCGCCCTTCCTCATCTCCCAAAGGTCCACCGTGCTGAATTCCATCCCCCCCCCCCCCGACAGCCGCCGTGCTGAATTACAGGGAGGGGAGGGACGTATCGGTGAGACCGGCGACAGGCACGGAGCCGATATATGCCGTGCACTGTAACCGTGCACGGCATATATCCGCTGCGCACGACGGGCGACACTAGAGTCGATACAGCTGTGTGTTGCCACGTATAGTCTCACAACCATTCGGCAAATGATCGCTCAAATTTGTGTTAGGTATTTTGCTAGAGGTCGATCCTATTTACATTAGAAATTTCTTCTCACGTATGGGGCATGCGCATTTCTAAATTTGCCATGGAGCAGCAGGACCTCCATATAATGATCCGTCTAACACGTAAGCCTGACAGTCTGTATATAAACACAGCCCAGGGCCTTGCACAAGCATTTTTCCCATTGAGCGGTAAACTCAACCCGCATTCGCGCTAGTCAAACACATGACAAAAGCACCGCTCACCAGCTAGCTACTCGGAATACCACTGTGCAAGGGTGCAAGCAAAGTCATTGTTTTTCGGCACCCAGCCGGATGTCAAGTACCTTTTGTTTGAGTCTTCTGGAGCGCGAGCCATTACGACTCACTTTTTAGGCCGCCGAAGGCCTCACAATGGATCGCAAACGCGGTGGCATTCACGGTCACGCCGCAGTCACTCGGCGAACAGACGCAGACAGACAGACAAAAATACAGACTGTCTGGCGGACAAACGGTCTGGGCACGCCCCGAACCTGTGGCGCGTAACGTCTACAGCCAGTCAGCGTCGCCAGCGCGGCCCGCGCTCAAGGCGAGGCCGTTCATTAGTGCGCTAACAAGCGGCTGGTGCATGTGACTGATCCTGGGAAACAGTGGCACGAAGGGACGCACACTTACAGTCTACTTTTGACGTCGCACACGGCGAGGCAGCTCATTCAGCAGTGCTCTGTCGTCACGCGAGGAGGCAGTAAAAGTCGCTGGGTGTCAGATTTGAACTCACGACGCGGCGATGATCGCCATTCTGCTTTTCGCCTCGGGCGTCCTTCTATCGTCGGCGACGCTGATTGACTTTGTGGCGGTGGGCGAGCGGCGGTACTACTGCAGTGACCGACAGCGGTGGGTGGGCGACTGTGAGGACGAACCCCTCCGTCCCGGCGCCGACGGGTACGGCTACCGACGCGACGAGGGCGTCGGCGTCGGCAGGGGGTACTACACACTCCCGACCGACTACGACGCAGAGCTGGTCTGTGATTTCGGCGCGGATGGAGGCGTCAGCGACGAGGTCACGGTAAGAAATGCGAATGAATGTGATCACGGATCATTCATAAACGTAGCGAGCGAAAGAGGACTAAAAAGGTGTTTCTAAAAGGGGTATGCGTACTCTATCGTGAGCGCAATAACAAAAGATGAAAAGATAACAAACATGAACGTACGCCGTAATACATCGAAATCAAGAATGTTTTTATTCGCATGATACTGAAAAATACCAACCATTCCACTTCCCACTGACCACGTTCTCATGCCCCTCTCTCCGTGCCCCAGAACGTCGCCTGGTTGAGGGTGTCTGAGCCTGACGGCGGCCTCTGGAGCTCCCCGTCCCGTCTCGGTACCGGACGGACAGGCGGCCGGCGGGGTCGACGGCTCCGACGGGGCGTGTATGACAGCCAGTACCGGCACAGCAACGTCGTCCGAACGCGCGGAGGGAGGTGGGTCCGCCCAGTCAACACCAGCTCCGTCATTGGAGTATCGTGCAACGGAAAACTCTAACGTTTACTTTCCATCAGATATAAGATAAGATATTCAAATATGCATTATAAAGTTAGGCACTTTTGATGAGCTTCCCTGATTTGAACCAGCAAAATGTCAAATAAATTTTAGAGAACGTTTTGTCAAGACACAACGATGTAGCTGAACGCAGATATACGATCTTTATATGGCTGGGCAGTGGGCAACGCACCAAATAATGTGTGGTTTGACTCTGTTGCTAAATACCATTACGATCTGAATTGCACCAAACTCTTGATATAACAGTGACATGACGTCATTAAGCGTCACCACCTCCTTCTGCAGGTCCACCTACTACATCCGTGACTTCACCGCCGCTGACTTCGGCACGTACCGGTGCTTCGGGACCGGCTCGGGCGACCGTGTCGTCTTCATGGAGGTTGACTTCAGCCCGCACCGTCGGTCGGGCGGCAAGGTCACGGATATTGTGTTCACCGCCGAGAACGCGTTCTGATTGCTACATGATCTGATTGTTTGTGCCGCTGGCGTGAAATACATAGAAGGGGCATATTATTATTGTCGTACATCTAACAAATTGTTTGTGTATTTTGTGTCGATGTTAACAATGGTGTTGTCGCTGAATACTGATATGAAGATCACACCACTGTTGTAATTCATTTAACCACAATTTAACATATCGCTTTACTCGTAACGCGATTTCAATGCTTACTGAATTCGGTGCCGATAGATACATGTGATTCTTACTGCTTACAACTGACACAATATGCACGGAATAAATGTGGAAATGAATATTTAGCTATACGGTTACTTAGTATACTTTATGTAAGTACAACTGATGTTATAATTGCACACCGTTATCCTACATGTATACTGTATAGGGCCCATGCGGAACAATTTATTGTGCAGTGACGTGACCTTTATCTTTGTATTCTGATTAGTCACAGAGGCGCAACACCCAAGCTTGTTGGCAGTGATCGCGTCTTGCATGCGATGTAGTGCAGTTGGTATGGGTAGAACACGTGAAAGATAGTGATTCGTTGTAATTATTCGTACCCTTGCTTATTGACGCAGGGATTTGCAATGTTCTCGGCACTTGACTGTGTCATGATGATCATTGATCAATTATGTTAGAATGCACCTTAAATGCAAATACTGTGTAATGTTTGAGTGACTAATTGGACGTGATTACGTGATACTAACCGTAACGTGACTAGCCGGAAGAGAGCCATATCGACCCATACCCCTGTTCCGACGGGCGACGGCGTTTCACTTACACCGGCCCAAGACTGGCATGTTGAAGTTGCCGGGGCAAATCAGACTTGAGCCAAACCAAATTGCTGGCTGGGGTAGGTACTCCACCGCATGCTCATTTTGTTTGTTGATACTGACAAGAATCTGCTGCGTAACGGTACTCAAAATGAGATGATCTGAATCAGAGGTAGTAGGGGCGCTGAACTGAATATGCCGAGTGTTCGCGATTCATAAATAAAGCAATACAAATAAAAAGCAATAAAATAATGCAATAAAAATATGCTATTGAATTGCCATCGAAAAGCCATATCGTAGGCCCAAGCAAGACCTATAATCGTCACCGGCCGAGGAGGGGGGGGGGAAGGCGGGTGGCCCCCCGATCCGATAGGTTTTTTCGCGATAGCTCCGAACACGCTGACGATAGAGAGCTGAAACTTGGCATATCTGACCTCTAATTCAAGCCGGATCTTTTGACATCAAACGCATTTTTGGGTCAGGCCAGGTCACTGACCTATGACGTTATAAGTTAGAAGTGAACCTCTGCTGCCGTTTTTTGCGAAGTTATTCACCAAAATAGGACTCGGGTAAAAGTAGGTCCGCCGAGGGATAATATAATAAATGCCCCATTGAACTTGATGAGAGCATGTCGTAGGGTACAGGCATTAACACATTTTCAATAGTTTGATCTTCTCACTAAGTATCCAGGCGATGGCTTTTTTTATTTGTTTGTGTTTTTATTTTATGATTATTGCGGATCGCTAATTGTAAAAGTGGCTGCTCTACAGGTATCTCAAGAACATTTGCAAAAATAGTACGCAGACCATTTGACAAAATATTTTTTCTTCCAGAAACAAAAAAATAATTTATGCACTATAACAACCTAAAAATACATATATCGGTAATAAATATCGTTGCAAAAACTTAACAGTGTTTTGTTTGCAATTACTTTGGATAATTGTCGATGGTGGCGCAGTTGTTACGCTCAATATCGAGGAGAAAAAAATGTATAAACGCTTTGGGAAAAACTTAGGATAAATACGACAGAGAAAAAGGTAAACTGCGTTAAATCGTTTTGTTTAAAATTGTTACATAAAAGCTACGCTAATGGAAGACGTCTGCGCAGTCTGAACCTGAAAGGCTGTATTTATTTGGGCTATTGGATGAAAATAGCCTTTTGCACTCTGGGCTCAAAATTGATAAAAAACATACCATAGATATTATCAGGAACCATATTTCGACATAGAGATTATCCACCCAATCTCTTATGTTGATGTTGATGTACCCCTGAGAAAAAAACGCACTGAAAGGCTATAAGCAGAGCAAAAATGCCAAAACGTAAATTAACCTAACCTTTTCATAATCAGTCAGGACTCAGGGAAACTGCGGGAAAATCTGCTATTTTTGTGCTCATCTATTTTTAACAGAAATCTGGGTCATGTTTCCCATTTGTCCTGGTGCAGGTATTAGTTAATTCCTATAACATAGACATTCTATAAATACATTTATATTTACCTACTAAGAAAATTCTGTTGTATAGTTTATCTGTTTCACAATTTTCAAGTCTGTACTATTCACTTAGGGATCTACAGATGGGTCAAGAAGTTCACAGATGGGTCAACAAGTTCAGAGCCCATGGGACTATGCATAATCTCAATGGTAAAGACACTAACAGGCAGTCACACTCTGGACAACCGAAAACATCAAGGGCACCGAATGACATTGCCGCAGGGCAGGCCTGTGTGCCTGCAGTGCTGGGGCACTCACCTGGAGCACATTGTGAATGTGGTGCATCAGTAAAACACACACTGTACCTAATCATAATGTATTTGTAGTGAAAACTTGAAACTTGGTGGATGTCTGCTGCATAGGTGTGACCCAAAGTGGCCAAGGTTTGGTCATGGATGAATACCTAATCCATGGTTTGGTGATGATTCTGAAAAAACTTCAGAAGTTATTTGAATTTTGGTGATGACCACTTTGTAGTGTGACCAGGCACTTTATTCTTTAGTAATAGTGTAAACTGTAAACTGTAAGACAAGACTGAGGTTTCAAATTTTTATTCTTTGAGAAGCATTCAGTTTCATGGTCATTTAACTTATACCCAGGCCAGGCATAAGTGCATGTTTGGTAGTTTTTGCAGCATTTGTAAGCATATAAAAGGCAAAAGAAAACTATTGGGCCACAGAAGTAGCTCCATGCCTGTATTGCAATTTTTGTACATGTGCAATGTGCATGCTCAATGTTAAACAATGACCATTGGTATGATCAAGTGCTCTTTTCCAAGGCCCTAAATATACCTCTTTTCCATGGCTTGGTTCTAGTTCTAGGATCATGGCTGCACCTGGAGGATCTTCTGATGCTCAAAGAAGGGCCAGAAATGCTGCATTGAAAGACTACTATGGCTGCAAGGCTTCAAGTGAAATGGCTGATAATGACCTGTATAATTTGAATTCACCACATTTCAATCCAGATATGTATCTTCACCAGCTGATAAAGGTTTGCCTGTTTGATATGTTTGTCATTTATTTAGGTCAGTATGTTGGCTGAGTAGTGACTAGTGAGTATGTAATATCACATCTCTGGTCATATTTCTGGCTGGGTATTGGTATGTGTGTGTCATCCTTTTTTTTGTTGTCCTCAAATTGAGGAATACAATAACTGCTTGTCATTGATATGTTGAAAAGATTAACAGTTTCAGCAATCTATCTTGTGAAAATCCTCATGATTGTACCTATCCATTATTCATGTGCATGTTACGACGTGAGCACCATATTTATTTCAGGAGTCTTCTCTCACTGACCTGATGGACACAGAGGCGAATATATACAAGCAGATTCAGTCTCTGGACAGTGAGATGCAAACACTGGTCTATGAAAACTACAACAAGTTCATCTCTGCCACCGACACCATCAGAAAGATGAAGGTCGACTTCAAGAAGATGGAGGATGAAATGGAACGTTTGGCTGAAAACATGACCCACATCACCGCGTTTTCAGCCACTGTGTCTGATACACTGCAGGTAATAACCGGTGGTGTGTACTTGTGGTACCTATGTATTCTATTTACCCACAGCTATTGCTTTTTGAGGTAATGCAACACTTCAATAGGCACCTTTCAAAGGTTGCTGTCTGTTGAAAACAATCAACATGTTCACCACATTCCCCTGTTTCAATCTGGTTGTCTGATGTGTCTTTAGTCTGTGTTTGTCTTGACACCAGTTTGCGTCCTCAGGTTCGTCGCGATGAAATCAACAAGCTCTCCAACACTCATGTTATGCTGAAAAAGCTCCAGTTCCTCTTTGAACTACCAGCTCAGCTCAAAGACGCCATCGATAAGGAAAACTACCAGCAGGTAAGGCCAATGCAATGTGTTTAATATCCAGCCATAGTGAAATTATGTAGGGACATGACACTCCTGACTGAATACGTCTTAATTTTTCCATCCTGGCCATTTCGATGCCACCAGGTGTTGAAGCGCCTCACTTTAGCCTCTGACCATGGCAGATTATGGTGGATTGCCCTTTATTTGACCTCCCGCTACCCCTGAGGGAATATGGAGTATCCGCCTCCTCCTGAATTGCCAGAGGCAGTAGAGTACCTGCTATTTTCCCTCCCTTACCCCTCAGGGATTGTGGAGTGAAGCTAGTTGGCCTCTCTCCGACCCTGTCAGGCATTTAGATAAACTCTGAACTCTCCCTCCTACCAGGCGGTGGAGTGCTGCCTGACATGCCCTTATGCCTGTCAGGCAGTCGAGTGTTCTCTGTTTAACCTCCCGCTTACCAGCTGTCATGTGATGGAGTGTCCTCTGTCTGACCTCCACGACCCCTAAGAGGTGATGGTATATTTGACCCTCCCCTCCCCCCCCCACCAGACAGTGAAGTACCCTCTGACCTCCCCTCCCCTTGTCAGGCAGTCGAGTACCACCTGCAGTCAGAGCGCGTGCTGGAGCAGTACGGCACGGCCCCGGATACGGCCAGTCTGCAGGGGCTGCGCGCCGAGTCGGCTCAGAGCATCACACGGCTGGTGGCTGCCCTCCAGGACCGGCTGCAGGACGACCAGGTAATGGCCGAAGAGTGAGGGGGTAGGGCGATGGGGTCGGGCGACCAGGCAATGGATGATTGGTTAGGGCGACCAGGTAATGGGTGATAAGTGAGCTGGGAGACAGGACGACCGGGTAATGGGCGGGTACAGAACGACAAGCCCGGGTAATGGGAGATGGGATGAGCGCGAAGAGAGGACGACCGAGTGATGGGCGATGAGGCCGGACGACCAGTTAATGGGTGATAAGGTTGGACGAGGATAGGACGACCAGGTAAATGGGTGGGTCGGACGACCTGGTACTGGGCGATGAGGTCGCATGGGATAGGATGACCAGGTAATGCGCGATGAAAACGGGCAGATACAGGACGATCAGGTGATAGACGATGGGAACGGGCTGGGTCGGGAACAAGACGACCATGTAATGGGCGATACTGTTGTATATTGGTCTGTTCCAGTCGCACTTCCTAAGACCTCTAAACTCCTCCAAGATTGCTTCCCTGTTCCAGTGGTAGGTCTAGCCCCTACAAAGCCAAGGAGGGCCCTGCTCCAACCTCCTCTATCTTGCTCTTGGAGGAGTTTAGAGGTGTTAGGAAGTGCGACTGGACAGACCCTATACGCGGAGACGAGACGATGGCCGGGGGGGGGGGGGGTGGCGTGATCGGTGGTAGGGGGAGGTGATGTACTGTCATTGTCAGTGTGAAGTGTGCCGTGTGGTCCGTGGTTGGCATGTATGCCATGGTCGATTAATTGGCATGATTATGCTTCTCCTTCTCTATGCAATTTACATTTCGAATGTTCTGTGCATCCGTTCTTCTGTCGGAGCTCTTCACAATCAGTACCTGTTACCGATGTGTCCCTGTCTTTGATAGGTGGTACAGAGTCTCATCTGGCCTAACCTGTCGCTCCCTGTTTCAGGCCACGCCGGAGCAGATCAGGGAGTCTGTCCAGCTTCTGCTGCAGCTGGGTCAGCCGGCTGAGACACTCTGTTCGCGTGTCATTGCGCACGCGCAGCGCCGGCTGGCCGGTGATCTGGCTCAGCTGACGAACCAGGTGGAGCTGGCGCGCGCGGCGGCGGACTCGGACCGGCCGACAGAACTGCGGCTGCATCTGCCCAAGGTGAGTGCGGTGCTCAAGGTCTAAGATGCTGGTAAATAGGTCAGCTTCAACTGCCCATGACAAGTGAGTCTTATGTTAGCTTCAACAAGCACTATTCAACATAGTACTCGATTTAAGCTCTGCGTGCCGTTTTCATATTCAGTCGAAACTTAGTTATTCCCACAGTTCCATGATGCATACAACGTTGAAATACGGCATTGCCATGTTTTCCTTTTTATACGTTTATAACGTCTAAATACGGATACAAAGCTGCCACGAATAATGACGCAACACTGGCATGGCCGTCTGTCCGTCGTCAGGATGTCCTCGAGTTTGTGGACGTCGACTGCAGTAGCTTCCTGAGCAACCTCAGCCTGTTCGTCACCTCGTACAAGGAGCTGTTCCTGGAGCCGAAGAGCAGGTCAGACACGGCCTCACGTGGGACTGAAGACTGAGATGACCGGTCTGCTCCGATGATAGTTTTTTTTTTTTTTTTAATTCAGGAAACATGTATTCAAGCTGCATTTTGCTGTTAAACATGTTAAATATGAACGAGCATACGGCATCAACCTGTTTTACAAATGTGATAAATGTCACATTATGGTATTTGCTGTATTTCTCCCGACTTCAATTGGTTTTCAACCTCGTCATGGGGCAAGATTAGAATTTATCCATCATCGCTGCCTTCACCCTGTACCTCCCGGCCCTGACCCCGCCCTGACCCCGACAGGTGCCCGGAGGCGGCCGGTCGTCTCTCCGACTGTGTTCGCTCCCAGATGGACTCTCTCCTCTCCGCCGTGGACAGTCGACTGAGTCTGGAGAGCGCCGCCGGCGGCGCGGCGGTGCTGGCTCGCGCCCTGGACCGCCTCTATCGCAGGCTGCAGGCCAGCGCCGCCGTCCTACCCGATGGAGACGCCTACGTCAGGTCAGTTACAGACAGATGGGGCAGACAGACAGACAGTCACAGGTGGGCTCATAGACACACAGATACAGAGAGACAGTGACACAGACAGACAGAGACAGACAGACAGACAGACAGACAGACAGACAGACAGACAGACAGACAGACAGACAGACAGACAGACAGACAGACAGACAGACAGGCAGACAGACAGACAGACACAGACGGCCTTACAGACACACAGATATAGAGAGACGGTCGCACAGATAGACAGACTGGCGGGTGGGCGGTGCCTTATCCTGTTATTGTTTGTGTCCCATGGTTCCAGTGCAGCTGCTCACCAGGGCCTCGTTTCATAAAGCTCTGCCGTAACTTACACCTTTCCGTAATTCACACCCTTTCAAACTACGGAGCGCAAATAAATCCGTTTCACAAAGCCACAACTGGAATTGTTTACACCTCCGTAACTAAGCACATTTGCGTAGTTACCGTAATTTATCAAGCGTCCTACAAATTACAATTTCATGTCAACACTTATTTTTTACGAGAATTTATAAAACAATTATGTTGAATTCAAATCTTAAAAATTATTTTATGAAAAAACAAAATTGATATTGATGACCATCCTTTATTAAAACAATATATTAAAAACAGCAGAAAGCCAGCTAAGCAGAAGTGCCTAACTACGAAAGTGGCGCGGCGCGGCGAATAAACAAAATTCCTATAGTGGCCACAAAAAGCGACTGGTACAGAAGATTTGCGGTTTCTTTTTCTCATTTTGGCTGTTCTTTCTTCCTCACCGGGCTCAACATTATAAAATATATTAAAAATTAGCTTCGAATCTTCACATTAATTCAAAATCACGCAACATTTTTGTGCGTAGTTTACACCACTGATATCAAGACCTTGATAAAATATTTGGCGTTAAATACGTCGTTTTATGAAACCCAAATGGCATCAATTGGTCCGGAATCGAGCATTTGCCGTAAATGAAGCTCCGTACTTTCGATGGCGTGAATTACTCCGGTCTCCGGCTTTATGAAACCGAATTGGCATCAAATACGCCAAATCTGGCATAATTGACGGAACGCCGTAAGTAATTCCTTTTATGAAACGAGGCCCTGGTCGTGATGTGATCGGAATGTGTTTGTTATTGTGTTATTGCAGCGGTGAGACCTTGGACTGTCAGCCTTTTGTTGCTTACTGCAGTGAGGCTGCGAAGCAAGGAGTTTTTTGTGCTAGCTTACGTTACTTTGAGCGGCAGAATCAGTACTTGTTTGTTATTCTCTCCAAATATGACTTGGGTCTGCCGAATATAATGGCTCTCAAGAGATTTTATAAATCGCCCTCAATTGTCGGCCGATACGGGTATTAACACTACCTACCTATTGCCAAGTCTGATGGTGTTTTTGTGTAACTCTGACACCATTCCGGAGTGTTTGTGAGTACAAGAAGACTGCCTTTCCCCACGATGCCTTTATGGATTCACCTCCCCCCCCCCCCTGCCTATCTTTTTAGTGACTGTTTTAGTTTTATCACGGTCCTTCTGCTCCCTTGAGTGTTGCTTCGTATGAGGTGTGATCGCTGCTCTCCTTCCCCGGGATGGACCTGATGGATCTGACCAGGACCTGTTTAATCCTCTCCAGGGCCCAATTTTACCAATGCCGTGAATCAGACAATTAGACATGGAGCTGGTATCGAGCTAATTGACGGCGCCACGGAGCGCGGGTACTGTATCGGGGTCTGACCGCCGCCCTCTCCCTGTGGTGTCAGTGTGGTGTAGCTGACCTCTGTCCTCCCTCCCTCCCGCAGGGCCGGTATGGATCTGATCGGCGGCGCCACGGAGCGCCGGTGTCGCCAGTCGCTGTCGCAGCTGTGTGCCCACCTGCAGCAGAGTCTGTCGGCGGTGCGCCAGGCGCTGGTGGTGCCGGCGCCGGCGCCCTCCTCTGCCGAGCCGCCGCCGCTGGCCGAGCAGCTGGCCACCTTCCTCGGCGGCCTGGCCGAGCAGATCCGAGCGACCGTCACCGACCTGAAGGCGTTCATCCAGCCGGAGCTGTCGTTCGGCGTACAGGCGCGCTTCAGAAACACGTTCTGTCGCCAACATGTCAGGGAGACGGTCGTGGTTGGCTTCTTCCGACACTTTGTGGAGACGTGTCGCGGCTTCTGTGACGCGGCCGGGGGAGAGAAGACGTCGCCCAGCGTACTGCTGCTGCTGTCGCGGGCCTGCCGGGACCTGGACACGTCCACCGTGCACTACCTGGTAGGAATGGCGGGGTCAGGAGATGGGATAGGGAGAATTGTCACTTGTCGTACTTGAGGTAACCCAAATGTGGTATGTGACCTATGTGTCTTTCCATTTCGTATCCCCAAAAACGTTTCGGGTTGGATGAACTATATTTGCCTTCTTTATTTGATGACTGACTGCCGTTTTCTGCCATTTGGACAGATGAACTTTGTGGACGACCTGCTCCGGATCGAGGACAAGTCGGGTCTGACGCCTCTGGCGGACATCAACAGTGAGGTCCGGGCCGCCGGACAGCAGCTCATCAACCACTTTGTCCGTGTGCAGGGCCTGGCCGTCTCCCAGGTGAGCCAAGGAGCTTGGATGGGCTGTTGGGCTGTTGGCACACGACTACGTGTGACAAGGAGTAGGAACGTGGTTGGAGTATGTGCAAGAGAATTACCGGACTATGTTATGTGTTGTTTAAACGAGCGAATAGTGAGAGCTTGTGAATAGGTGATGCTCGATCTCAATGCCAAAGATTTAAATTCAGGTGAGTGTTCTTGGTGAGCTCGTAATTTTACAACAGCGACGAGCATGAGATTCATCCACATTCTACATTATTTTCTATAAATCTGAGATAAATTGCTCTGAACTTACAAGCATGGCTATTTTCCATCCTCGTGGGCCTCAAGTTACACGTAATGTGGAAACTCGTCATGGCATGCATTTCCTCGCACGTGCACGACATGTCACGTGCAGCCACCCGACACCTCACCCTCGCCCTCCCCTCGGCGACCAGATGCTGCGCAAGTCTGTGGCCACGCGCGACTGGCAGCACGCCAACGAGCCGCGCTCGGTGCGCTCGGTGATGAAGCGCGTGGTCGAGGAGCTGGCCATGATGGACGCCCAGGTGGGATCGGTGTATGAAGAAGGTGCCGCCCGCTGGGAGCAGCACAACAGCTCCGACTCGAGCCGGCGACCCTACCACGGGTTAGTGAGGGGGACGCTGGGAGCGTTACAGGCTCCAGATGTCGCTCCTTCCACGGGTTAGTGTTTGGGGGGGGGGGGCGCTGGGAGCAGACAGTCGAAAATTGAGCCAGCCAACACCCCCTCCACGGGTCGGGGGGAGGGGAGCCCCGCTGGGACCAGTGTGGTGTATTACAGAATATCACCTAATGTCCGCTGATTTTACCTGTGCGTGCCTGCCGTCCATTGTTCAGTCAGTAACCCTACCCTACCCATTCGTTATATGTGGAGCCCGCCTCACCTGACCTAGGTGATACCGCCGTTACTGGCCCACTAGCTCCGCTGACTAGGCGCCTAACCCGCCTGCACTTCTTCTCCCTCCCCAGACCAGGCAGCCAGCGCCAGCGCCACGAGTGGTCCTCGTACGCCCCCAGTCAGGTCGACTCCGGCCTCGTGGCCAACATTCAGAAACTCTTCTCGGAAAGGATCGAGATCTTCGCGCCGGTGGAATTCTCCAAGGTGTCGATTCTCACAGGGATCATCAAGATTGCTCTCAAGGTGCGTATGTGGAGGTGATCAGTGTTGGGATTCGTTAGCTAACTGCCTGGACTGGTTTGGTTTAACGGGAGTGCTGAAAATGGGCAGAATGTGACTACTTCCGGTTTACTATTAAATATATAGATGGATATATAGTGGTCTATGGTGGATGAAATCCGAGTGGACGTCATTTTGTTAGCTATCAGGATGGATCGCTGGTGGGAGGTTGTAATGGTTTTGTTCCGCGTAGGTATGGAAGATGGATTTGCCCAGAAGACAGGCTGCATTTGCCTTAGTGCAGAGTATAATATAATGCTCATATAGGTAATTGTAGAATTACCCACGACCTGATAAGGCACCATTATCTGCTCTGTTATCTGTTATTTACGTTTCTGGTTACTTGCCTCATTTGTCGAGGGATGGAGAGATTCGAAGCTATAGCTTAAGTATTTTTTATTTTTCTATTCTATAGAATAATTCTAAGCTATTCTATTCTGAAGTAGTATGTAGATGTAGTGTTATGTTTGGTGCATGACGTCAACTGAAGCAGATCCCGTAGTTAGTTACAACCGACTACCTTTTTCACCACAGACCCTGCTGGAGTGCGTGCGTTTGAAGACGTTCAGCAAGTTCGGCCTCCAGCAGATCCAGGTGGACGTCTACTATCTACAGGTCAACCTGTGGCGCTTCATTGCAGACGAGAAGTGAGTGCGCAGAAACTCTGGGCGGCATCGCCATGTTGTCTATTTGACTTGATACTTGTTATCGGCACTGAGTTTTGAGCTTCTGAGGGTCGAAGATGAGTTGGAACCGTAGATAAGACAAAGGTAGTAGAGGGGTCGGATTTTAGCCTGAACGTGTTTCTAAGGAGATCTGAGCTGTATCGCCTACCATAAACCCACCGTTGAATTCTGCGTTAGCTGTAATGTCGCGAAGTGTGTTACGTTTCGCCATTGTTGGCTGGTGCCTCGGTATATCCGGGCGGTTTCCGTGTGGTTTGGTTTGTCCGCTATCTGATCGTATGTGTCTGTCGTCTCTCTCGACAGGCTGCTGCACGGTCTGCTGGACGAGGTTCTCGGCTCCGCCATCCATCGGTGCCTCCAACCAGCCCTTATGGAGTTCTCAGTCGTCGAGGCACTCTGCGACCGAGGGTGAATTTACCGGCTGAACGTACTGACGCGCCGGCCGCTGAGGGGAGCCTAACGGTCAGTCCGGTGAAACACGCCAGCCCCTCTCTCCCCTGATCTTCACTCTCCCGCACAGTGCCTGTCCGTGCGGTCCACTGGATAAATCCCTCCTGCCGTGGGCCTTAGTGTCGATCGATTCCTCCGCCGGTCCAAGACTGCCTTCCCTCATGAGCTGCAGCGACCGGCTCTCTCCAGCGGTGGCCGTAGCCGCATCGTTACCATGGCAACAAAGCTGCGTCCGAGCGCCATCCATTACCGGAGTGAAGAGGTCTGAGAAGCGGCGACGGTCGATGAGGAGATCCGCTTACCGCTGCGCCGCTGCTTCCTACAGCGGTACTATGCGGACACAGCTATCGTTAGAGACGTCCAGAGTGGTTTTATTCATATTCTGAGCGGCTGCCGTTTCGGATTACTCGGTCCGGTGTATTATCTGGAGGAGGGTTTGACATGCTCTGTGCACGGCTGTGCCGGTGATATCTCCATTCCAGGGTGTGATGTTCAACTGGCGTTTGTGATAAGGGAAGTAATGTATGTGCTGCTCTCTGATGTCCAGTGTTCGCTTGATGGTTGTTGATTTTAATCATTTTATTTATCTTCGGTCTGATCGTGGTTGCACATTTATTGATAGGATATGTGTCATGTATAAGAGCTGATGATTTGTGTCCATATCGGTTAACTGGCAGGTGTTCAACGGAAAAGGCATTGCCAATATAAGTTTGTTCTACCTCGTATCGGCATCTACCATGTTGTCGCAGTCCAACAGATTATTACCCAAGCATCAACGAGTATCGTACTTAGCCAATATCAGGCAAAACTGTTGATCCCCACATCAGACATTTCAGTCACCTGAAAAATATGATTCTCAGAATCTCGGGAGCGCTGATTTTGCATATTCAAATCGATGCTACTTTACATACCAATGGAGAACATCCGCATGACCTACTCGTTGTGCTGAGCTGCTGGCCCATCTGGGTCGGGTGTCGGGATTCACCCCACGAGCAGAGTACTGCCCACTAGACATGTCACTATGTAGTTTTACTGGTGAGTAACTCAAGACTGAGCTAGGGTTCTTCCCCGTGAGTTTTGGCCACCGTCGTCCCGTTTAGGAAGGTACTGGTTGCTGGTCAAATCGTCTCGTATATCAAGTAGGGCTATGCAAAGCAAGCCAAGTCGAGGTCAGTGACTAGGAGCCTGGACACCGAAGCCTGCAGCAGGCAATCACTGTTAAAGCGGTCACGTCGTCTTTTCGTTAAAAAGACGAGGTGTGATCTGTGGAGAGTCATCAAACAGTTCTCGTTGAATGCATCATTGACAACGCATATATTGGCGTCTTTAATAACATCCACCTTTTTATATCTTACATGTATGTCTGATGATAAACATTGACCATTCGTAACACAGAACATGCGAATCGGATGCGACTTCATGACGCGTGACACGTAAACAATTGGCACCTTTCTAAGCACACACACACAAAACACATTCGGGACCTGATGCGTACACACCAACACAATCGTCGCACATCAATGCAGCGTCCCTCACATAGTAGTTGCTTGTACTGGAACGACCTTTCTTGATCTCCCGTACGTCGGTGATACTCGCTGCCTGTTTCCGGCGGCTTGACACTCTCCCGGGCGGGTCAGAACACCTCACCGGTCATCGCCCAGCCTCCGCCGAGACACACCCTGAACCCACTGCACACAGCCCATCGTAAGTCGCCTCAACAGGTCACGCCACACGAATAATCTCGTAACCGAGCGCGGCAGCGAGTGTGTCGCGGCGCCTGACAAACAATATCGGATACAATACATACAGTAACACCTCGCCACGGAGTGCCGTGAGCACCAACACAGAATCTCCGGCCCGGGTCACAGAACCGACACTCGTCGAAAACATCACAACAAACAACAGCGCGCGACAACAAACCGTTTGGAGCGTTAGGCCCGTCCACCACTACTTCAAACAGGCACGGGACTCTGAGTGCCGCAGTGACGAGCGCTCATGGCGCGAACCGGATGCTTCCTCGCCGGTTGATGACACGTGTCTGATCTCACAGGTCAATGTCTCGTGACCAGTCACCGAGGTCACGCGTAGGGTCACGCGGAGTCACGTGCCGCTAATGTAGCCGGTGGGGCGACAGACCGGGGTGGGATGGTACGGATGGCGGTTGTTTGGAGCGACATCCGAGGCTGTCGTGCCGAGTATTGACGATCTCTGCGTCGGTTGAGCCGCCGGTCTGAGGCTGTAGCTCGGTGAACATGCTCCAGGTCGTGCCGGCAGCCGGTGTCGTATAAATCTCCCGCGGGGTGAGCGTTGGGCGGATAGCGTCCCACCTCGAGCACTGAATGCGCGTTCCACGGCACCTGTCGGGTGTCAAACGCTTGACACCTCCACATTGCACATTGCACTGAATCAGTCGGCTGCCTGCCAGACGTCGTGGCGGGGTGGAATTTAGCCGTCCTGCACGACCACCGCCTACTTACTCCTGAGCATCCACCACTGTCCGACGCGCGAGCGTTTGAACGTGACAGCGCGGCCTTCGGTGGCGACTTCGATCCGAGAGGAGACGCGCGTCAGTTCGACAAACGTATCCATCGCCTGTCGGTCCATGATGAACCGCAGCTCGTCGCCTGTCCACTTGGCCTTGGTGATGATCTTGGCCAGCTGGTCGAGCTGCGTGACGGTGAGCGCACCACCCACCGGTTCGCCGGCGCTCAGCCCCGCCAGACTGAGTTCCTGCAGGTGCGGCACTCCCGTGGCCAGGGCCTGCACCAGCCACTGCTTGCCGCACTCGGTGGAGCGGGACGAAAAGTGCGAGTTGTCGATGCGCACGGTGGTGAGCCGGCCGCATTTTTTAGTCGCCGTCTTGGTCTCGTTGTAGACGGTGTCCGGGTTGGAGACGTCGTACCGCCAGCCGCGGATGGACAGCTCCTGCAGCGTCTTGAAGCCGGAGAGGCCGGCGAAGAAGGCCTTGACGCCGGCATCGTTGAGCGGCGGCGCCGCCTTGTCGCTGAGGTTGAGCTTGCTGAGCGCGGAGAGGCCGTGCAGCAGCGGGAGCAGGCCGGCGGCACGCCTCACGCCGCCTCCAGCAGTCTCGATCAGGCAGTCGGACAGGTTTAGGCTGCTCAGTCTGGCGCTGGGAAACGTGGCAAACTCGTCCAGCCGATAGCCGAGCGAGACGCGACACTCGGCCATCACCAGCCCGTTCAGAGATGTGTTCTTCATCAGCGAGCGGAGATAGTCCATCGAGGAGGCCGACTGTGGACACGGGCCAGCGGACGGTCAGACGCGCACACTGCGGAGTGCTGACACGCGGACTGAGACTGCTCGGTGATCGGACTGATAGGACGGGGATTGATACTGGTAATCGGTCAAACGCATAGACTGCTAAACGTGGATAGATACTGATACGATTCTGCTCGATTTCCAACTGCGGACGGCTGGGGCTTTTCTATTGTGTCCATTTTTAATAGGCGACTTTAGAAGGCCAGAACTTGCGTTTGTTCATAGACCAGAAGCTAACCAAGATGGGTTGAAGCTTAAACGTGTCTACATGGCCTGAAGCGTTTCTTCAGTTCTTTATAATCAGTTGATCTGTAATGCGACAACTGCCACTGACGGGATGGCTCAAAAGACAAGTGAATCTACACAGCCAGCCAAGTTCTCACCTCTAGCGTGAACTTCCACTGCTGGATGTTGAGCTCCTGCAGCGACTTGTTGCGCTCCAGGCAGCGACAGAGCACGAAGAAGAGGAAGTCGTTCATCTGCACCTGTTTCGACTTGAGCACCACGCTCTCCAGCCGCTTGGTGGTCGGCAGCGCCGTGATCAGGGGGAACAGGTTGGCGGCCTTGGTGACATCAGCCAGCGTCAGGTGCGTCAGAGACTCGGACTTGCGGATGGCCTCGCCGAGGCAGGCGAAGTCGATCCGACTCATCGGCGTCTGCTGGCTGATGGTGAGCCGCTCGAGGCGGGCGCCGCAGCAGCGCACTGCCTTCAGCAGTCTGTGGTGGCCGGCCTTGTGGCTGATCGAGTCACACATGGGCAGCGGGTACAGGCCGCGGGAGCCTGCAGGGAGGGAAGGGGTACATGTCACCCACTACAGTCACACATGGGCAGCGGGTACAGGCCGCGAGAGCCTGCGGGGGGAGGGGTACATGTCACCCACTACAGTCACACATGGGCAGCGGGTACAGGCCGCGAGAGCCTGCAGGGGGAGGGAGGGGGTACATGTCACCCACTACACAGTCACACATGGGCAGCGAATACGGACCACAGGAGCCTATAGGGGGATAGTCGTTGGTCACACATCCACACGTGGATAGGAAAAGGTAGACCGGGAGACCCTGACGGGGCAAGGGTGTAGACACTCAGGTGCAGCAAGCAATCGCAAAGGGATAGGCCCGACGTAGGGATACAGATTGTTCACATGGACTGCGGGTATAGTCGTGGGGTGGGAGAACATGGAACATGGAGAACAGATGATCGATTAATAGGGTCTTCTCCTTATAACCAACATGCTTGTACCGTCAAATTGTTTCGGGCTTTCATTGTTCACCATGCAGTTTGTCGTTTCTTTTCCCCATTTCGACTCCTTGTTTTACTGGTCGGCTCCTTGTATGATGTGCTGCGCTTTTTCAGCTCACTCGCTGCAACAGTATACTGTCACTAGTGGTTAAAAGTTTATAACAACAATACAAATGGACTTGAAATTCAATAAATACTACTCTTGTTGTTGAAGTAAGATAGCCTTGCTCATACGGGCGCACTTGGTTCCTAGAACTGAATGTGGTGTACGCGCTGGATAGCAGCACACCGAACAGCTTAGTCTGGCTGCAAGGTATGGCATGTTATATAAGATCAAGTCGGAGTTAACGCCACCACTATAAGCAGTATCCATCACTCAAATAACCGCACGTCTTTCTGCCGCAGCCATTGTGACATTTACTTGACCGTGTAATTTTCCTCCGGTGCACGCTTTTTTCTCCGTCCGAGTAATCACGCGAAGCACGCTGCACTAACTAGCACCGGAGTCAGGGATGGCCGGTCAGTGACTGGGCGGTAGGATACCGCCGCCTCAGCTTATAGTCAAGGCGCTAACCAGCCGTGCAAAGCTTCACCGACCTTCCGACCAAGGCCGGCCGAAACTCCGCCAAACGTGTCACGAGGAGCGGGTGTGTCCTCAGACGTGATCAAACTCTGTCGGAAAAGGCAGTGTTTATGTGCGCCAGTACCCGGTATTACCTCGGTTAGCTCGTCAATCAGTCGGGCCTGACCAGAGCCAGAATCACAGTAGTTACGGTACACCGAAGGCCAGAGAATGCCTTTCAGGAAGCGGATATGAAGTGGTGTGCATGTATGCACGGCAAGAGCGAGGAACTTGGGAGTTGGGACAAGTGATAACTGATAAACAACACTGTCGAATGATAAATCAAAACCAAAACGCGTATCATACAGATGTGAGAATTAACGGCACAACCCGAATCATAAATATAAAACAAATCACGTATCATATGCAGATGTGACAATTACGGCACAACCCAAATGGAAACTCGTGACAAAGGAGACGCGATCAATCACTCAAATTCAGGTCAGAAACCGTCGACAACTTCCCTCATAACGCATCCCCTCCTGTAGGTACCCCGCTGTTCGTTGGCGGCGCACGTACCTGACGGGTCGACCAGGCACCAGACGCCCTCGACGACCCGCACGCGTCTCTCGTCCTTCAGGTTGACCGAGAGCGCGTCTTTGAGGTGCTCGAGCTCCTGGTCGGGCCCGGTGCGGTGCGGCGCGCGGCACAGCGGCTTGTGCGCCAGCTCGGGGCTGCTCTGCTGGCGCGGCATCTCCTTGATGCGCTGCATGGCATTGCGCTTCAGCTGGGTGATGGAAGTGGTGTTCAGGTCTGTCGGGCCGTCCGCCAGCGCCACCGATACTGCCGGAGGTCACACCAGGTCAATATGGATCACGACAGATCGCCAGATGTGCTGCTGTCCTGACGAAGCTTACACAGGCTTCCGTTCAACCGCTCCGAGCAGTTGCACTTGTCCCAGATTGTTTTATTGTTATTCTATGGCTTCAGGCATGGCAGTTACCAATACAATCGATGAGTGACGATTGAATTAAAGATAATCAAAATTCGACGATGCACCCTAATGTTTATGGTATGGTGACATAGGTATTCTCGTAAGTTTAGACATCGGAGCAGTGAGTTTAGGAGTGATATAAGTATGACTATCGGATCCGGCAAGAAATACAACCCCTAAGGCATGTGTTGCATATCCACGCAGCATAAGGTGACCTTCCGTGACCTGACCTGACCTGACGTGACCTTGACCTCGAATTAAGACATATAAAGACGCAAAATAACGCAACATGAACGCAAAAATCCATCTCTAACGAGGCATCGCGACTCTTTGTATTGTTGTCTCTTAGTGACCTTTTCCGCCATTCATAGCCTCGTTATGCAAATGCCCCAGAATATGATCTTTGATTTGATTGATTCACCCGAAGGCTGACCTCAGTCTTGAGGTCTTAAGAATGTTTTAGGGAGGTCTCGTGTAGAGCTTTCACACGCGGCCTCGCAAGGCTCGATGCGACCATTGGTTCTCGAGATAGCAGGTCAGCTGTCGTAGGTAGAGAAATAGCCCAGGCGGTGCAGGGTTGACGATCAGGTTGCCCTAATGCTGAAAATAGGTTTACAATTGGCATTGTATTGCTTTGTCGGTATCAGCTTAATGTCAAACAAGTTTTCTCACCATTGCTAATCAGTAATCAGCCATGTTAATCGATCAGAATGTTGTGTACATAAATGTGTAGGTACCAGCTCTGGCTCTGAGAAAACAAACGCAGTGAGAAAAAAACATTTGGTTGTAGAATCGATGAGTTGTGACTTTAATTTGACTGTTGTCTATATCCGCGTCGCGAGGGTGCGAGTGCAGAGTTTCGGACGGTGCAGCCAGCGTGGCGCGCCCGCTCCACCCGAGTCATGTCATCATTGGCCTGTCAGTGTTAGTCACACAGCCGGGGGCGCGGCTGGCCGCCGAGCAGCCGGCGAGCGGCCGATAGCCGTCCTCCGCCCAGCGTTAGAGGTCACCAGCTTCGGCAGGTCACACCGGACACGGGCCCACTGCAAAGGTGCATCCTGATTCATGACCCAGGCCATGAGGTGGTCTGGCCGGTGCCTCCCCCGTGTGACATCACATCTCTGCCGTCTGGTGGCAGGTCCGCCGCGAGCCTGTCGTGCGGAGTGTGTCCTCGTTCGGCGGCCCTGCTCACTTCTCGGAGCTACAGATACCGGTCAGGGTCAGCGTCCGGGGACCGATGTGCTCTGGGAACCCCCGGTGCTGTGGCCCGGGTCTGTGGGCTCTAACAAGGCGCTCTAGGGCAGCTAAACGCCTCTCCAATCCAGCCTGGTTCTAACCGTGAGCGTGCGCCAAGGCACCGCCCGCATGTCGTGATTAGCGCGCTCTCGTGTTCGTGGAATCGGACGTCACATTCTCGAGGTCGTGACAGCCCGCGAAGAATGGGACCAGTTTCCCGGATGTGACTGCGTATGATACTGGTTGGAGACGGAAGCCTTACCGTTCTCCATGGGCGCATAGTAAATCATCGGGAAACACAGCCAGATCAAGTGGTAAGTACTCTCCGCAACACGTGTAAGAAAAATCCAACTAGTAGGTAGGAGATGATTTTCCCAATAAAAGTTTTGTTGCGTAGCATGGCACAACATTTGAACGCTTTCGGAGTTCCCGTGACTCATGTCTGGCTCAGCTCTGCGGTTTTCATTTATGCGCCTAGCGTTACATATACCCCGAGAGATGACTCATATCTAATAGCGTCAACCAAGGCACGCTAGATGCATTGCATACGTAAATTGGTGACACAAAGCGCTAAGCGACGCATGGGTAATGGCGCTCCTCAATGTTCCTCTCATCCGGACGACAGACGTCCACATTATGCTATTAATTGGATGTTAATCTACCTTGCGTTTCTTTTAATCAAACATGACCGAGTCATTCTATTCATACCAAGCAAAAGAGGACGAATTCATAAGCATTTCGAAGAAACGTTCAGGTACTAACCTTCGAGTTCTTTGATGCCGATGTGCTCGCCGATGAGGCTGGCCAGCGCGTCGTATCCGCCGGCGTTGCAGAAGAGCCGCAGGATCCGCAGGGTCTGCAGGCGCGGCACGTGCACCAGGCCGGTGCACAGCTGCTTCGTCATCTCGCTCGACAGGTTCATGTCCATGGTGAGCTGTTTTAGCGAGGTGCACGAGCGCACGTGTTGCGACAGCGAGCTGACCACGGGCAGCAGTGCGTCGGCACCGCTGTCGGGCGCGGTGGCCTTCACGTGCAGTTCCTCTAGCCGCGTCAGTCGCGCGCAGTGCTTCATACACTCGCACATGGCGTCGACGAAGGCAGCCGGCACTTCGGACGACTCGCCGTAGATGAAGGTGACGCGCAGGTCGGTGATATTGGCGCAGCTCTGCAGTGCCGACCAAAAGCCCAGCTGCACAGCCACCAGCTCGTCGATTTCGTCTCCGGCGCGGCCGCTGCCGACGTCCCAGAGGAACTCGACGTTGCCTACCTTGCTGGCCGGCGAGGACAGGCAGAGCGCCCACATGGCCAGGTGGTTGTGGGAGCCGTACACGGTGACGCGGTCCTGCGGCAGCCGTCTGCAGACGGCCGCCACATTCAGCTCTGTCTCGCCCGCCTCGCGCAGCAGGCTGAACAGAAGGTCACGGTCCGACCGCGACGTGCCGTCCAGATCCAGCTGGTCCATGACGGTCCAGGCGTCCGCATTGCGCAGGCCGCACAAATACTGCAGGATGAGCTGCACAGAGGTGGGGCTGGTGCCCTGCCGCAGCCGCAGCAGCTCACGCTTTAGCGTCTCCTCTTCGCCGATGATGCTGCACAGGTACTGGGCGGCCAGAAACTCGAGAAACGTCTTGTGGATGGGCTCGTAGAACGTCTCGCTGCACATCTTGGACGAAAAGTGGCGGCACTTGACGATGAAGCCGATCTCGAACAGCAGATCGCCGCCGCAGCCCGCAGGAATGTCGCTCTTGCGAAACGTCAGCTGGTCGGTGGCCAAGCACTGGAGGCAGAAGGCGCCAAAGGCGGCCAGTGCCTGCTGGTAGGAGGCCGCCAGTCGCGTGCTCTCCTCCGCCAACGGCTGCGGATGGCGGCGGTGTACCGCCTTGCCGATCAGGTAGTGGAACAGCTCCTGGTACACCTGCGACTTGGTGGCGTGGGCGCCCGCCTTGCCGCGCTGGTACATCTCACAGAGCAGCAGACACATGAGGGGACACTGGGCCAGCTCGGCCTTGCTGCGGTCGCGCTCCAGATCACTTAGGAAGTGCTCGATGCGCGTCTGCGGCCGGTCGCCGTACACAAGTCGCACGAACTCGGACTGTTTGGCGGCGTCGAAACCGACCAGACTCACATACTGACAGTGCTTCTTGAACGACATCGGCATGGGCCGAGACGTCAGCAGGGCGCCGCTGTGCATGAACGCATTGCCGGACATGATGCTGTCGATCGATTTGCGGAGATCTTCGGCCAGCTCGTCGTAGCCGTCGAAGATGAAGAGCACGCGCTCCGGATTGGTCGTGATGTACTCGAGGAACGCGTCGCCGTCCGGTCGCTCCTGCGGGTAGTGCAGCTCGCGGATGTGCTCGTCCAGCGGTCCGCGCAGCTCACGCAGGTAGATGAGAAACGCGTGGCTGTACTCCTTCAGATAATCGGCGCCCGTGGCCCAGTCGAAAGCCACACGCGCCGCGAGCGTGCTCTTCCCGTAGCCGGCGTGGCCTTCCACAATGATACGCAGTGCTTTTGACTGCTGCTGTAACTAGACAGAACACACACCACCAGCTCGTGAGATATATAATAATTTAATAGTCAATGAGCCGAATGCGAGAAACTTGCGTGCACTGCACGAAATGTTACAAGATTTTGGACTAGCAGTTTTACCACATTTCGAAAAAGGACAGTGTAATTTTTGAAAAGTTTCATGGACCGATGAAGATAACAATGAGCAGGGGCGCGGGAACTACTTTCCGACTGGGGGGCACACCATAATAGAGATTAACCTAGGGTTACGGTACCCCCAAATCTAGTTTTCTCACCGGTTTTAGGCCACTTATTTTTCACCCCTCGGCTTTTTCAACAAAAAAAGAAAACATTTGCAAAACAGTGTGGTATTCCGTCTCAAAGCTGTGGGGGCACCGCCCCCACGGCCCCAGAGTTGGGGGGGCAAGCTGCCCCACTGCCCCCCCCCCCCCCCCGGCTCCCGCGCCTATGACAATGAGAAGCTATGAACAATGCGTAAAATAAAAACAAAACGAACGAACAAAGAGGAAATCATTAAGAGTTTATATGGGAACCCCGTGACAACTACAACGGTGAAATATGTCAGCCGTCCTTACCTGCTGGTCTCTGACGAGCTGCTCGACGCTGCCGTAGGACTGTGTGCTCGAGTTGCCGCCCATGGATACCATGCTGAAGTCGATGCAGCTTTTCCGGATGTCGTGCACCATGCCGTCGTACCAGGGCAGCGGCGAGGAGAGCGCCGTGAACGAGATGTAGCGCGTCTTGAGGAACTTGTAGGCCTCTTGGAAGGGCCGCTGGCTCGGTGACGGAGAGGTGGGACTCGACTGGGAGCAGCAACCAGGACATCGGTCAGCGAGAGCGAAATGAACTCACTACTAACGAATACGTACCGCGGCAACGGAACGGGCTGCCACTCAAACATCAACTCGCTTAAATGCTGATAAAACGGCCTTTTGAGCCAGGGCTGCGGAGTGCCGAGTTGGAGTCGGTCGGAGTCGACAGTTCTGACCGGAGTCGCATTCGGGGTCAGTCGATTTTGGAAACCGGAGCCGGAGTTGGAATCGGGGTCACCGACAATCCATTGACTCCGCAGCCCTGTTTTGAACCAAGCACGGATCTTTTTCTGCAATGGATGATATTGCAGTCATGAGTCAATAACTTGAAGCAAAATTACTGTCGAAGCCATAATGGAATCAGCTCTTTCGCCCATGCAAAGACAATGAATACGCTTCAAACGAACGACGAATCTTTTCAGGTGGCCCCTTACCTGTTTGCAATCACAATTGAGGATCAAGCGATTCGCGTATATCGCTCCGCCCGTGTTATGCAGTATTTCTGTATTGTTCCATTGTATGTGCTCGGTTTTGTTTTCAATGCGATCGATTCGAATGTTCTCAGTCGTATTATGCACTTCCTTTTTGTGTTGCACGTATTCGTGTATCGCGCCAATGTTCTCCTGTTTGGTCTGCACGCACTGGTGGTGAACGGAATGGTCATTGAGCGAGTTCACCCGATCCACGTGAATCTGACGCTGGTCGAACACTTTGGGTCCCACGTGCACATGATTCGAGTTCTGCACGTGCGCCTGCATGCCGCGCATGTCACTGTTGACGCTCAGTTGGCCGGTCTCGTCGGCGTCCAGGCTGGAGTCGTCCACCTGGGGGCCGCCGGCGGCCGCGGCGGCAGCGGCAGCGGCCTCGGACAGACGGTGCCCGGCTGGCTCGTCCGACTGGCTCCTGCCGGCCTCCTTCAGCCAGCAGCGCGGCCGCGGCCGCGGCGAGTTGGCCTCCGACGAATATCGCCGGCATCCCGGCGGTCGCGGCGCCGCCCGCTTCGGCTCCGTCTCCTGGTACACGAACTTGGGATCAGTCTCGACGTACTGAGGCTCGGAGCCGGGGTAGGGGAAGCGCGGCTCACCGCCTACCGGGCCGGACTCGGAGCCGGGGTACGGGTGCCGCGGCTCGCTCCCAGCTGACGCCGGCTCGGAGCCCGGGTACGGGAACCGGGGCCTGCCGTTCGGCGGGCTCGGCTCAGGATCGGAGGCCAGTGACCCCGGCGGCGCCGGGTCGGGATACAAAAACCGTCCGCTGCTCTCCGAGCGCAGCGGCTGCTTGGGCACCGTCTCCTGGTACACCTGCTTCGGCTGCGTCTCCTGGTTCTCGCTGAGGACCTCGGTCTGCCGCCGGCCGGGTGCCGTAGGCGGTGTCTCCGGCTGCGCCCGAGGAGTGCTCTCCGTCTCCGGGCCGGAGGCGGTCCGTTCCGGCCGCGCCGGGAACGGGAACGGCGACTGGTCCGGCGGTGGCGTCAGGTAGGCGCGGAACACGGGCGTCGGCGGCTCGGAGTCCAGCGAGCCGGCGCTGCTCGAGTGGGACACCTGCCTGCCGGTGCCTGAAACACGACAGAAATGGTGGTCAAACACCTGCCTCCCGGTATCTAAAACACGACAGAGACGGTGTTCAGAGAGGTTAAACACGACAGAGACGGTGGTCAGGGAGCTTAAACACGACAGAGACGGTGGTCAGGGAGCTTAAACACGACAGAGACGGTGGTCAACTCAGAAAGTATTTGAAACACGAAGATACCTGAAACACAACAGAGACGGTGGTCAAACACTTGTCTCTGTGTGCCAGAGACGACGGTCAGAAAGCTGCCTCCCGATGCCTGAAATACGACCGAGATTGATGACCTGCCTCCCCATGCCTGAAACATCGCAGACACGGTGTTCAGATAAAGATGTAAAATACCTGAACGCTAGCAGAGACGGTAGTCAAACACCCGTCTACCGGTACCTAAGGTAGGACGGCGACGGTTCTTGCATATCATCTTCAAAATTGGAATTCAGCGGCACGGGTTTATCAAGCAAGTTTGATCGGACACCTTCAAAGCACAAAAAAAGCCAAGAAGCGACAATGTTAAAGCAACCCTGAAAAGCTTGTTCATGAAACGTCTTAAAATATGGTGAGTCAACTGTGAAACCATTCATTGACTTTCTAGTTCTTTTCTTCATTGAGATGTTCTGGGGATACGACCTAAAATGTACCCAATCCCAGTCATTTCACCCAATTATCAGGCCCAATCATTTAAACTTCATCGCAAATCAACGTTGCGCACCAAGCCAACAGTAGGTATTTCTCAAGGACAGTTTTTCCCGAGCAAAATTCACTGAAATTTTGGACCGTTTTAATATAGTTCATACCGGTTACAACAAATATCAACCCAGGGCCCTGGCCCTTTTACGAACGATGCACAGTTTCCGTACCTTGTTTTCAATTTCATAAGCACCACTGACGCTTATAAAAAGTACGGGGCTCAAATTTGATTATCATTTCTTCGACTGACCTCAAACCTATATCATATTTCGGCTGACGCCCACATTGACGGGCGTGGGAAGCGGCGTGAGAGCGGCGCCCCCGGCATTGACGCGCGCTGCGAGCGTACTGTCATGGTGTTTGGAGAAATCTCCGCGGCTCGACACCGGGACATTGTGTAACCGTGACGTCACAAGGCTGAGGACGGTCTAGTCAGCAGCGCTGTGACGTCATAGAAGGCTTGTAACGGTTCAGATGGGAGGGTGGGAGTCGGTAGGTATAACACTTGCCATCAGATTCCGCGAGCCTATGCATGTTCTGCGCTGCTTCTAGTCTCGTGACATCAATCATTTAAATTTATCAAAAACAGACGTCATCAGTTTCATTTTGGATTTCTCAAAACATGGCTGATGACGTCAGAACATCGTCGTCAATACAAACTGCCTTCTTTCATGAGGTTTCATCATGAAAGTCCACCAGCCGCAGTAGCACGAGTGGCGCAAATAGCCACAAGGTTATGCAGTATGCACATCGAACTGGGCCTCTAGGACAACATGGAGAGGCTGGGCAAATCGGCCGGCTCTCTCGAATAGTTCCCCGAGGCGCAGATGATTTGAAAACCGGCCAGACGGCTGATTTGTGATCTAATTAATGCCAGACTAAAACCGGTGTTCTGAAGTTCGATCGGTTGATATCTTTCCACGCCGCGTATAGCTGAATCGACAGCATGGCCCTGTTTTTTTATGAGATTCTGAGACCGTAGTAAAACTTATCATGGGGGTTTTTACTTTATCAGTCAAAGTGTCAAAGATCAGCTAAAGAACAAGTACTCGTACCTCACACCCTTCCTCTATTTACCTAGTACGATTGATTCACTGCACTCTTGCATCGCCCGTGTCGTGTCTTATAGCTAGGAGTGGCCGCGCCGTTTTTATTCGCGTCGTGCGGTGCAGTCTACCTTCAGGCGTACACTATTTATGCCATCTAGCGGCAGGAAAAGCAACTGCACGGGCGATGCGGTACAGTCTACCTGCAAGCACGTACTACTATTGCCATCTAGCGACAAGAAAGCCAACTGCACGGGCGATGCGGTACAGTCTACCTTCAGGCACGCACTACTAATGCCATCTAGCGACATGAAATCGTACTGCACGGGTGATGCGGTAGGTATATACGGTCTACTTTCAGGCGCACACAACTGCAGTGCCATGAAGCGGCAGTGAATGCTGGATTACCGGATTTCTCGTAGGTATACCACGTCGTAAGCACAGCATAATTTGATCCGTAACTTGACGGGAGTATTCTCAAACTGTCCGTCATTATCATTTGCTATGGACGTCGGAATCGCACACGGCTCGTAACATACATAGCACCAGCGGCATAGGACGTTCAGACCTGGCGAGCATGAACCATCTGCGAAACATACGGACATTAATTTTGCTTAGATATAAATATCATGCCTTATATCTCCTTGCCCGTATAGCAAATAAAAGTACACTACACATAACAAACATAAATTTGATGTTGCGGCTTATGCAGTTTCACAAATCATAGTTATTTGCATATGGATGTTTGATCGATGGATATGGATGCATGTGCAGATGGGTTAGATGTGTCAACTCGACAGCTTCGGACGACGTACTTACACAGTCATCAGTGCAATATTGAGTTATCATGGTGGCTGCAGTCCCCAGACCACGTTACTGGGCGATTGGGAATCATTTCACAAAAATAGGGCTATGAGATTTTAAGGCACATATTAAAGATCTTTGAAACGTTTCCTTTATGGAAAATACATGAAGATAGAATATCATTTCAGCATAACGAGAGAAAATAATGACCAGAAGAAGCTGTAAAAGATGATCGACTGGTTACCGGAACTGCAGTTGGTGAAATAACCAATTAACAGTAAACACAGTGAATCCTGACCATTGACCGTTGACCAGGACTAACCCTGACCATGAACATTCACCGGGGCCATCCCTGACCGATAATTGGCTGGGACCAGCTTCCTGGCCAATAAATAACCACCGATTAGGAGCAACCCTGACCATTGACCATTGACCGGGACCAACCCTAACCAGTGATCGTTGACTATCAACCCGAATCAGCCTTGGCCACTGCCAAGAAGCCTGCTGACCACTGATCATTGGTCGGGACTAGATCTGACCACTGCACTGGTAACCCACCGGTGACCCAGACCAGCCATCAGTGCTGACCGGTGTTTAGTGGTCAGGAGCGGCGAGCGGCCCTGACGAGTGACCGTTGACCCGCGGCCGTCATGGTCAGATAGCGCGCTCACTCACTATCGCATCGATCAATCGGCCCATGCCCTTGCGCCATCCCCGTAGACAGCTGGTTCGAGAGGTAGGTACGCGGATCGAGCACGACTGGATCGAGAGGTGGATTGGCTCGAGAGGTGCACAGATCGAGCACTGCTTCCCCGAGAGGTGCATGGCTTGAACACAGCAGGCTCAAGATGTCACTCCACCAAAGCGCCCCTCGAATGGAATTTCAGTGGGCAAAACATGACATCATAGTCGAACGTATGTACGATGTAAATTGTACAGTCTGTCTTAAAAGTACCGCGCAAAGTAACGGTGGATCCATCAAGCCTGACCGAGGAAGGGCCTGCTAAATTTCAGTCACCGAAGCAATTGGCATCCTCGTCCATTCCCCAGGTCAATTGGTTCGGTGACTTTCAAATTATAGCGGGCCCTTCCTCGGTCAGGCTTGATGGATCCACCGTTACTTTGCGCGGTACGTTCAATACAGACTGTACATACACGGTACAGTGTACGCGTGCAATGTACAGGCTACTCGTGATTGTGCCGGTGTTGAGTGCTGGGACGCCTTTGTTAAATGTTAACTGGATAGAACTGGATAAATTGTCATCGGGTGCTTTTTTTCACTTAAGGCCATAGATTCCAACCAGATGCCGAAGACAACGCGCCATAGGTGGAGATTGGAGAATTGTGCTGGACGGGGGTGCTCGAGCTTTCCAAATTCCACGCATGCCTGGCTTTGGAGCCGCAACTGACGGCAGAGTTCAAGGTCACCGATAGGGCGGCGGCGGATTTGCTGCGCCGGCGCGGCGCCCGAGCATCCCCAGTTCGGCACAACTCTCCACCTATGCAACGCGCCACATGACTATATGCTGATATTGAACCGATGGCACAAAGAAGTGGTTAGACAACTAAGGACCGATTCCTGCTGTGACTGTAGTGTGTGGGATGGCCAAAACGGCTATGGGCTATCTATGTCGTGTTGTGGTGCAACTATCAAAGAACTGATCGTTGCGTCTGATACGGATTGACGATTTTCCGCTTTCGTAAATTCACTTCTCATATAATTAAAGTTCAATGTAGCATTGTAGCGTAAAGGCATAAGTTATTGCATGAACTCCAAACGTTGTGCTTTTCACGAATATGGCGTAAACAAACCCGATGTTGCCGTTGGCGTGTTTTCACTGCGAACGTCGCTTATTCCCAGCACAAATTGGCACAAGATGCGCAATTCACTTCCCATGAGTCTAAATTTGGCTGAGGCGGTCGCAGAGCTCCTGTCCGACGGGGTTGCAGCTCACCTTCTGGTTACAGTTCACCCACTTCGGAAGGACTGAATTCCAAGACCGGTTTTACAGCATGACCGCTGGCACGGAGAAAGGCCGAAGACAGGCTTGATGCTCCGATATCCGAATCAGTTTGCAAGTGCGGAAAGTATTCACGGTCGCAGTTTCAAGGCTAAGCTCGAACTTATGAATAGAGGCAGGCATGTAAGCGCCATGTGACAATTCAGTTGTGGGACACGTGAGTTCTAGCAGTATAACGGGACAGGACATTGCAATGTCCGAATGTCACTTGCAATGCCACCAGTGCAAAGGTGCTTACTTCTGGCACTGACGCATCTCTTCAAGCTTCATCGACATTTGCATTTATGCATTATTTATAATGGAAGGCACATATTAAGTATTCTTGCGAGGACAGTTATTAGTTTAAGGTCCAACAGCAGTTGCAAGGTCAGTGGGCACTCCTAGTCCATCATAACTCGGAATGTTCTGTGTCGAGTTCGAGTTGAACTAGATCGGAACCAGCGTCAGAGTTAAATTACAGTGTAAGACCGATTTCGAATGGATACGGAATAAAAAAAAATCATCAGTAAGGCAACAACGCTAAAATGACTAGCTACTGACAAACGACACTGAAAAAAGAGCGAGGAAGACCAGTTACCTTCGACTGATGCGAAGCATACACGGTTTGACAAAACTGGCACACAACCGACACGAGGCTCATTCGCTGTTACGAGTGGCTACTGCATTCGACACACGAATTCGACACACGAATGCCGCAAAGAGCTCTTCTGCCAACAATACATGCATGCCTAGTTGCTATTTTTGGGCAGTGTTGCGACCACTAACTGGCCTTGTCTTGACTTATCTTGCCTGTGCGAGTTGATACTACTATGTAATTAGACAAGAGCCTTAACCCGCGCACCGACGGGGGGGGCGGATATCCGCCCCCCCCCTGAGGTTTTTCGCGGATAGCGGGAAAACCGCGGCGCGTAGCGCCGCGAAATTTGGTATGACTATTCTCTCATCAATTTTACACATGGTGTGCAAGTTTGAACCTCCTAACTTTTAAGGTCAGGTCACCAGGTCACTTTGAATGACCCAACCTCAAGTCACTTTTTTGCAACTTTGTCACCGTGCCAGAGCTACAGTAGATGTCGGAGGCCTTTGAAAGTCGCAGGATGTTATTAGGTCATTAGTAGCTACAATTTGTATATCTCGGAATTTTGATGTCGGTGACCTAAGGTCAGGTCAATTTCGCGACCTCCCCATTATAAGTCAATGGGGGAAAAATCAACTCCCTGTTTTTACCACTAAAACGGGTCGGAATGGCCCCATATACCATACATGACTTCACATACGATCAACCTTCACTACCTTGAGGTCTGTTTTGCTGTTGGGCAGCTGTAAGGTCATGTGACGTCATCAAAGGTCACCAAAGGTTTTTTGCCAATAACTCCTTACAGGAACAAGATACAGCCGCGCGGATGGTCTCATTGTGTTCAGCTCGTCAAGACGCATCGAATGATATACATGATGACCTCGAGGTCACGTGACCTGAGGTCAACCTTTGACCTTGACCTTTCGAGGTCAACATATATATCATTCGATGCGGATTGACGAGAGGATCACGATGATGCCCTTAGTTTGTTCCTATCTTGACTACTTCGAAAGTTATTCGAGAAAAACCCTCTCCATATCTAGCGCCGCCATTTTGACTTTTTCGACCCCTGTGACGTCATCTTTGACCTGACCTGAAAATGACCTTAGTAAAAATTGTAGACCTTGTCCGTGCGTATCCGATGCCGTTTACCGCTTGTCGCTATCTTGCTTCGTTCTCGAGATCTCAGGGGGGGGCGGTCATCCGCCCCCCCCCCCCCGTCGGTACTAAGTTGGCGCAGACCCCCGTCGGTGCGCGGGTTAAAGGATTTTTTTCTTTTATCTCTTATCTGTTTTGCTATTTATATTTGAATTAGTATTCTGTTCTCTTTTCTGCTCTCTTATAACAATATCTAACAATATGTATTTTATCGAGAAATGTACCTATGGGCTATGCTTGACTTTGCCGGTAAGTGGGCTTAAGGGCCTGTTGGCAATCTCTTTGAATAAACAAATAAATAAATAAGTAAATGGATGTGGAAAACCCAACTACTTGAAACGCTTCACTGGAAACGCTGCACTTATTATTATAATCATTGTCAAAAAAAGTAGTTTTATATGCTCACATTTTATCCGGTGAATTTCATAAAAATTATAACTCCCTCAGACTTCCGAGCTTAGCAAGAGTAGAGCCTGGTCTTAAGCTAGTTGGCATCCGCTTTTATTCGGTCCACATTTCAGAGTTCAATCTCGAGGCACTGAGAAAGTCCACAAGTCTATAAAGAACACACAGACTCACTAAAGGCCGCCCCACACTCGCATGGGGTTGCGAGTTTGCGGGTTTTGAGTTTGCGGGCATAATACTAATTCATAGTGATTATATCGCTCCCTTATGATAACTTCATGTATGCAGTGAAACCGGTACACCTTCAGAAGCTTACATGCAGTCGCAATACCAGCGCAAGGAACCGAAATTCGACTCCAACGAAAAACCCGCAAACCTCGCAGAACTCGCAGACCTCGCAGCGAGGAAAATCGAAAGTTGACTCAAAATCAACTTTTGGAATGCGATGCAAGGTCGCTCGCAAGCTAAAAACATGCAGACTCGCTTGTTAGATGGTAATGTGGGTCATTCAGCCTAGATTATATTATTTGCTTTTAAAGAAAACCGAAAACCCAAAAACTCGCAACCCGCATGCGAGGTCCAGTGTGGGGCAGCCGAGTCGAACAATTGATCTATTCGCAGATCCGCCGTCGACCGACTCACGCCCTGCAGCTCATCGCGAGTCTAATGCGCCGGCGTCGTCCGTCATAATCCGGCAATCGGCTTTGTCGGCCGGTCGGAGCGTCTTACCGCCGGCGGTGGCGCGCCGCTCTGGCCTGCCAGGAGTGCCGACAGCGGCGCCGACGGCCGAGCCGAGCAGGCACCAGGTCATGGACCGAAAGTGTCGCTGTCAGTGTGACGGAAACCGACCCGACCGCCGACGGGTGGAGCTGTAGGGACTGTGTAGCGAATTGGTGGAGTGATTTGGGCGCCGAGAGATTTGTCTGTAGTTATGTCGTATTAACGGCATGTTGAAAGTCGACGGCTCAACCGCACACTACGCTGGAAACTACCAAGCATAGTCCTGCGCTTCACTATGAGCTGAGCATTCAGAGAAGGCTCACTGGCACTGATAAAACATATGTGCATCGCCGCACCATTGCAGTGACATAGAATGGCCGTGGAAAGTTCTTACGTCCCTGCTCCTCATAACAAGCTCCCATGGTCCACGTAGCGAATTAACAGAATTTGACTACTAGTGTCAAAAATCGCTATAGAACGTCCGAATGTTTGAGGAGAGGTATAGGTCAGGTAATCATGGGTCAGTATCCCTTCTTTTAATTAACGCGATTGACAAAGCGAACCAAAGCTTATCAATGATAAGCTCTAGCATCGCGAGTAAATATTCCGTAGTCCTTTTACAACTTTTTCCAAAGTAGGTTATCAGAATTTGAAGTCAGACTATCGTAGTTATTACGTACAACGGCTTTGTCTCATACAGCATGTCATCTAGCATATCTGACTTCAGGTTAGGCTCATGCTCTGACCTTGCCAATCAGTCGATCCTGTAGGATCGAGTGTTGACTGTTGACTGTTGAACTATGGAATATGGTCATAAATAGATCCACTCTCAGGTCACATCGTAATTACGAATAAAAATATTGACAAATTTTGTCCACATTTTGTTCACGATTTGTGTATGATATATTGACGTTACTGAAGGATGTATTCAAGAAAAACATTTAACTGATTTTCTTAGTGGGTAACAGCAAACAAACAACTTTCTTGGCGACACGGAAATACGGAAGAGACAGAGACACGGAAAAACACGACTTTTCCTGCACATTCTGCCGGCGCCTATACGGTATAACTGACCTGAGCCAGACAGTTGTCGGTACATTTCCAGCGTCACCGGCTGATACTGATGGTGGTGCTGCGACTGGTGCCGGGCCTGGTGCTGCGACTGGTGACAGGCCTGGTGCTGCGTCTGGTGCTGGGCCGCCGCGCCGGGGGACAGCCGGTGCCGACCGTGTGGCGACGCCTCCGACAGACCGTTCAGAGCCATCCCGCCCGGCTTAGCAGTCATCGTCTCCATCGCTCCCTGGCAGCACGAGATCGGTGGGATTCGTCAAACTGACAACATCAACGTCAGTCCGTAACATCGCTCTCTGGGGGCACGAGTCCGGCGGGATCCGTCAAACTGACCAACAACGTCATTCCGTAACATCGCTCTCTGGGGCCACGAGATCGGCGGGATTCGTCAAACTGACAACATCAACGTCAGTCCGTACCGTCGCCCTCTGGGGGCACGAGTCCGGCGGGATCCGTCACTACGACCGAATGACCAAACATCAGTGTGTGCGTCTGCTCTCTCATGAGACTGGTGGACACATGGTCATCCGCGCCGCATCTGTACTACTCATCACGCAAACACCTCACATGCTTGTCATGAAACAGGCGTAGGTACTTACATGCATGCCTACTATTCTCACAGTCTTTCAAAAGAGTGGACATAATATGATACGGACCGGTCAATTAATGTCACTTCAAGGCAATGGATCTAAGGCATGACATCTGTGAGTTTGCCGCCCGTGCTTTGTCGTTTGCAATACCAGGGCTTCATAGCAGAGAATGTCGCTTAACTATGCATGTAGTTATTTCATTTTTCAGGTTCAAAAACAATATAATCCACATGAAATCGTGTCATGGGCAGGGCCATTCCACAACAGCGTATTACTAATGCCGTATACCGGTAATGCCGTTAGTTGCATCAAAATATCAGATATTTAATGGCACGAACACAACAATTCAACACAGCGCAGATGTCATAAGTATGTGATGTAATGTCTAACAACAACTTATTTTGAAATGAAACAGTGTAACACATGCGTCAGGCCACAACAGTGCGCAATTAACTTCGGTTCTATCGCTTCATCACCTATACCTGCAGCTACTTTGTAAGTGCACCACTGCTGTCCTGCGCTATTTGCCATTGCCTCCTCAGCAGCGAGCTTGTTTTCGCCGTTATGGCTGCTGAGCCATTCAGCAGGCCCTTGGTGTGGCCGTGGCGTACCTGCTGAGCCTTTAGAGGCGCGACAGTGACTCAGCAGATCTCGGTCGGCTAGCCGGCCGCTCTGCTGCGGGCTGCGTTGTCCACCCACGCTCCTAATTACAGGTGTGCCAAGGTGGCACACAGCCGGGAACCCGTCTGCGTTACCGCAGGCCGGCCCGTGCGGCGGAAATATGGATCCGCTGAGCGGAAAGCACGCACCACATCGCCACGCAATGGGGCAAATAGCAGTAGTTGGAGATGACTCATATACTGTAGATCCCGACTGGACCACGACGTGCTAGTCCCGTTTGAAGTTGGACGTAAATATTGACGTACTTACGTTGAGTATCCATGACAGATTGGATAATGATGTAAATAATAAATCAATTAGTACAAATGAACATATTGAATATATTTTTGAATATATTTGATTTGTACTAAATGGTTTATTATTTAGGGGAGAGCGGGGCCAGTTGAAACACGGGGTCAGATGAAACATGGCTTTATTTTCAACAGTATGCAACATATGGCGTTGCCGACACCACTGCGCATCCGCGCTCGACCACTTCCTTTGTCAACGGCGTTTGGGCGGCAAACGGACGGTAATTTTGATTTGACACTTGTTTTTGTGTTTTTGAGGGGCGTTTGGGAGAAATCGTTCTTATGAATATTTTGTGATATCTCATATATCTTTGCTTGCTGAAAGAAGAACTCCTGGCTCCGGAATAACACCTTATTTGGCCCTTCATTCAGCATGATGCCGTCCCTCCAGCTCGTTTGACATGTGCTTTACGGCGCGTTCGAGATGGGCGGGAGCGGATGGGGTCAATTGAAACGCTTCTCTGAGGGTCAGTTGAAACAGGGCCACAGGCCGTTTCAATGGACCCCGGTGACCTTTGCAATGGTTATTGTTCAGGGGCTGTAAATATTAAAGGAAATAGTCCACCTTTGAAATGAGCTTTTAAACTGAAATAGTAGTTTAATAGAGCTCAATTTTTGACCCCTTTTTCTCCAGCCTTTTGCTTGAAAGCACACTATAGCCTTAGATATTTCTCATTTTTCTCATCCGCCCATTTCACCATAGTCTATGTACTTTATGTCACCTATTATGAGGAACTTTGCACTTTTAGCTTTCCAACGACCTATTGAATGTAGCATTTGGAAAAGTAAACCGGACAAAATATCTCCTTAGGAAAGTGCCCTTAAAGAGGAAAACATCCCATTGTTAAGGATAGGTGCAATTGACCCCATGGGCTGGTTCAATTGACCCTCGCATCGGGGTCATTTGAAACGGGTGTAGAGCTGTTTTATAAGCATGCGTTTGGCAGCAACCCAAAAGTAAGGTCATCATTTGTTTTGGCCACACCGCCAAAAATACGCGATGGATAGAAATAAATAGGACATGATATGAAAGAGCATTTTATAAAATTTTATTCTGATATACATATGAGTCAATACATTGGCTCGTAGCCCCACATTTGCTGCTTTTCTGCATGGCTACCATTTCGGGCCGCGTGCATGAATAGACTGCGTTTTACTTCCTCCACTATTCTGAAGCGATTCTCTGGTGAGATGCCGCTTATGTTTGCTCGGAGGGATCATCCTTTAGTTCTTCCCGGCTCGTTGGGTTGTCCTACAAGACAATCTTTCCGTTGTGTACCCAGAGAATAAAAATATGAAGGTGTAACGTCAGGTGCCCGCTGAGGCCATTCAATGGCGTTGCCCTGACTGAAAATTACGCGATCTCACATCCACTCTTGGAGACAATGCATGATCTTCAGGACGGTGCAAGCATAGTCTCCATCCGGCTGAAACCACTGCTGGTTGATGGTGTCGGCACAGCTGCGTTGCGACGAGCGGAAGAACCACTGGGAGGACTCTCGGCCACCTCTCCTGATTTATTTTCACCCGATTCCCGCTGTCGTCCTCAGGACCTCGAAGCACTGGTGGCTAAGTATACATGCCCTGTGCGTACGTTATACCTTTTTTCTGACGTTTTACCGGTTGAGGCGAAACTATGCATGAGTTCAGAGATAGGGCGAGCTGATAGGGTCTGCTTAGGGCCGAAAACTGGGCGGTATTTACCCTTTGTTTTAATGACGGACCCTCTCTAAGAGTTGAATTTCGACCTTCTCAGTTTTATGCCTACTGCTCGGTGTAGTTATGATCAAAAATGGTTTAAGCATGCAAGAAAATAATTTTATGGATGTACCTTGCACGTGTTAAAATTGGAAGTGATTCGGACTCTTACTTCTCGAGATATTTAAGTTTTAAATCATGACCTTACTTTTGGGACACCCTGTATGTTTGAAACGTAATTTTACATATCTTAAAATAAAGCCAAAAGAGCATATTTTTTCATGGCATTGTGCATTTTTCGATATGACAACTGGATCTCGCTGTGCATGTCAATATATAAAAAGTGGTTCAACTGGCCCCGCTCTCCCCTACATCATTATCCCATCTGACGTACTTACGTCATAACCGAACGTTCCAATGTCAGCTAGTTGGGTAGATACTAAATGCATATAATTTTGAGCATATCTAAACAAAAAGCGCGTACGTTTGATGCACATAACCGCAGGTTGTTTGAAATAGACAAACACTATTCGTTAGAATTGTGTTTTTCTATTGATATTTACTTCGATAGCTGTTGATAGGCATCTATTCGACCTAAAAAGGTCAACGTTTGCGTTTGCAAGGCCCAACCAGACGTAACTGTAGCCCAGCAAAATGAGCTTATCCCTGCTCAGTGCGGCCTGGAATGTTTGCAGCAATGCACTTTTTCAGTTTAACGTAGCTTTACTGATAGATGCAAGCCTCACACACTGCATTTGCTGCAACATAGTGCAGGTCTGGAACAAAAATAGCCCTTTCTAGTTCACTGTTTCGGCCTTTCCCATGGAAAATCCAAACACTGTCGTTAATTGACGTCTGCAGGTAGCGATACAATCAGCGCATCTACGCCCGCAGAACTGGTTTTGTTCGCGGCGCAGTGAGTCAGCCACGCGACAGCAGTCGGCCGACAGATGTACGTGTACATACGAACATACGAACATTGAACAGCGGTGGCCGCCGTCAGGGTATCCTCGCTAGCGCCGGGCTAGCCAGGAAAACACAGAACAGTGCACAGCATTCCGCTTGTTGTTCCTACGCTAACGCCGGCGAGTAGCAGGCCATAATTTTGTCTTTCTTATCACCGGGTAACGCCCTATCTGTAATTCCATTGAGTGTTTCTTAACCCTCGCCGGCACAGGGGGGGGGTTGATGCAACCCCCCTAAGGTTTTTCGCGAATAACTCGCGTAAAAAGCGGCCGATCGCGACGAAACTTTCAGTACCCTCGCATTGATCAATTTTACACCTACCCTGAAAATTTCATGACCCTGACCCCAATGAACTTTGACCTGTGACCTCTTTTCTGTGACCATGTTTGGCCGAAATCGCGGTTCGGCGCATGTCGGCTCGCATTAGCCGCGCGTTTGCAAGCTTTTCGTGGTTTCAAACGTTCAAACATGTGATTTGATGTTGCTCCCATGCATTAGGGTGGGTGTCAAGGTCACCTGAAGGTCAGGTCAGGTCATTGACCTTTGGTGACCTCGGGTGACCTCGGTTCACTTTTTCGAGTTTTACATGTTTCTAGGCTAGTTTTTGGAGCTGAATTCGAATTTAGCAACCATTTGAACATTTACGAAGTAGTTTTGGTGCCTTCGTAACATGTTACGAAGCTGTCCGAGGCGGTTGACACGTATTACGAATACCCGTCACAACCCCTACCGGTTGACCTGACCTGACCTGACCCGTACTGGTCTAAATGCTTAAAGACATCATCTCTGATCAAAACTAACACGATATTCGTGATCAGCACCCCGGAAAACCACATAGCAGCCACACTTAAGACTTTCTAACAGGTCCCGATTTTCCCGGTTTTCGGGTCATTGACCTGACCTGGAAGGTCACCCGATGACCTAGGACCTTAAAATTGGGTATCATCGGCTTCCTCTCGTGACGGGCAACACGCTCGTTTTTTCCGCGAAGCTCTAGCTCGATC